TTAAATTCACGAATCCATGTTTTATGAATAAAAAAAGTTTCACATTGCATATGAAAAGTCTATATAAAATGATTCCGAGTTGAACCGATGCTAAGATAACCCGACGGACCTTCCCTGAGGTAACTCGGTATTTTTTCAGTCAACAAAGTTTTTCCACGTGTAATTAGTGTTGAACACAACACACAACTCGGGCTCAACACACACACACACACACACACACACACACAAACACGTCGCAATTAAAACTGGACCCTGCGGTGACAGAACTTCACTCACACGGGAATTACATCTACATTGTGTGCTGACATTTTGTGATGCTCGTAGAAACGAATTGAGAGTAACTTGTCACTAACAACATCTACACTACCACTCTACCTTAATACTCTACCTTACACACTACTTCTGCCTTAATTCAGTGAGGTAAATATTTATAATCGCAAGGAAAACAAATGTTAAACAACTACTACTAACTGTTAAGAGGGTTCCCTACCCCCGCCGAAAAACGTCAGAAAACCGCTTCGCGCGGTATCATATAGCGATTCTAGTTTTAACATTTAAATTGTGTACCAAACACCATTTTGTATATAAAGAGTGGTTCTACTAAGTTAGCTTTTTAAAAAATGTCTATGCTTACGCAATCAAGGGCTACGACTTAGTGAACTTTACAGTTAAATAATAATATCTTTTTATGAAATTATCGATTTTTAATAAAGCAATATTAGTGCGAAATTTAACTAAAAATATCAAGTCACTTTTAATTTCAAGAAAAGATTATTTTTTGTATGTGCAAAATGAAACCGCGTAAAACCTTGCACGGCGAAAAGTGCTATGATTCTGACGGACTCTAGCGGCCTTTATCGAAACTACTGTCTCGCGGAGGGATACAAATTTTACACATTCTTCATCATTCATAATATTTCCCCCAAGATTTATCCATGACACATAATAACATTATATTTTGTCGTCTTGTAGTTCCAACTAAACTCACCAGGGTCGCAGAAAATTGAAAACAGTTCGAGGTAGGGAACCCCCTTAATACTGTTCGATGAAATGGCGACCATACATATAGTAGGTATTTTAAGCCAAGTATGAATGGAGATGAGTGTGGGATGAGTGGCGCGATCTTGTAGTCTTGTTAGTGACTAAGGCCGACATTCCTTAGACACAGCTGTTAATTAATAGCCCATACAGCTAATGGCAACTAAGGGACCTACAGTTTATAGTGGAATCCGAACCCCAATTTTTGTTTTGGTATATACGAATTGGTCTAATTTTCAGGATAGTACTGCGGATAGTCGTAGTACTCACTCGTGCGGACGTTAATCCACACCAGGGAGTATCATATCCGCAGTGCATGCCTATAAATATCCACAATTCGTGATCTAGCTGGATTACAGGACGACGCCACCCGTCCTAGTCACCGTAACATAATCTGTCCAATTATAACTTTATTTGGTCGATCAATGCATTGTACCATTGACTATATAACACTACATTGTACGTGTTAAAACCGTTTGGCTGCAAAATTATTAATAGTTCCCTTTGTTCATTTCTTCGTTCACTGATTTCGAGAAAAAGTTCCGAACAAACATAAAATCATTGGTGTGTAGTGTATTGTTATTTCAATGTATTTTGTTACCGATCGTGTTGCATATTACGGCATTATTTCTTCAACAGTGTTAAGGTAAATTCAAATTTAAACTTTATTTTAGTGATTTGAACAGAAAGTTGTTGATTGCGTTGGCGGAGTTATATCTGATGCATGTAACTTTCTTCAAACGACATTAATTTTGGCCCTAGAGATAAAACTTTCCATTGCAGAATACTGAAGGAATTATTTTACAGTTTTAACGTTATCATAAAACAATAGTCAGTGTAATTCAACTTGGTTAATGAATGTAAAACCGAAACTGAAAATAATTGTATAAAACATTAGTTTTGTTGTAATTTTTTTCTATTTTAATCATATGCTTCTTACAAATACCCTATGTCTATTTTTATTGCATGTTCATGAAAATTTCAAATAACCGGATGATCCAACAAAAGGCTTTGAACATATTAAATACGTCTTTGTCATAAATTTAAAAAGGTGAGGTAAGGCAATAAGGAATGTATGAAAAGAGTGAGAGGGATGGAAAGAGACAGGATGGAAGTCGCTATTGAGCAGGTGAGTAATGAATAGATGCGCTAAAGATGACCCAGATTTAGTCAATGGAAATCCGACCGTGTCTTTTCTTTCCAATTCCTAAGACATTTCTCCCCCTCCTTCCTAAAGCATCAATTATCAAGAAGCTTATTTTTTCCAGTACTTAAAACCAATTGAGACATAAAATATTTTCCTCTAACATACCTATACAAGTCTAAATAAGTAATGCTTATAATAATAATATACAACTATAACTAAATATACTATCGGGGAACGCGATTGGTTTTACTTTGTCAAAAATCTGACAAAGGGCGTTAGAAATTGAGCTGTAGAAAACACAACTGTACACATTTCGGGGTTCCCATTGTTTCCTGCTGTGGATACAGCTTTTAAGCACTAAACCTCGGGGTAAATATTCAAAATGGCGGCCGCGGCGAGTTTCATTCACTTCCGGTTGCGTTTAATCCCTTCTTCAATAAAGTCTGCTCTAGTTGAGCTCAATCATCATTTGGTTTGGTTTATAGTTAGAATGGAGAGATGAAAATGATTATTGATTTGCTATTTTGTGAGTTTGAGAATCATCAATAAAATTGCCACTGTACCATGTCAATGTTGAAAAGAATGCATTTCTAAGCTAATATGGATAATTTTATTCAACAGTGATTTATAATGTCCAATTTAATAATGAGATTCATCAGGCAGTTTTCCTGTAAAAATTAATAATACGACACAATCCAGTAGCATAAAAATATCTAAAAATCACTAAGTATATAATGAAGTTATATAAAATAATCTCTCAGAGGGTAAACTAGATTGTCAACAGCCCTCATCATGGGGTGGGAGTAACCATGATGTGTTATGGGCAAGATAACAACAATTGCTACAACTTTTGAACCTAATTTTTGCAGCATTTTGGGGTTGTCCCATTTTTTTAGGACAAAAAAATTGTTTAATCAAAAGCGTTGGAGCCATTTTTGTGAAAATCATGTTTTTCTCTCCTTTTATGGAGTTTAATGGGAAAATCATCATTATAATAAAATTTTCCATAATGAAAAATGTCCATAGATATTTTTTGGTTAGCACACACAAAATGTAAGTGGACCACAGGTTTATGTTGGTTGGTTTTCCTATTCAACAATACTCTAACATTGTTTGTGATGCATTGCAAAGCCAACAATGATACTGGTTGTGGGGATTGCTATAGTAGTTCATCAAGGGTTATGGGATTGGGATTTAATGTTGCCTACCTAGCTAATGAATTCCCAACACTAATCCTATCCTTGATCTAGAGCAGTTCTCATAGACACAAGCTTGCTTGTTTATTAACAGTTGAAACTATTGGAACAAATTGTTTCAGTAATTGAAGCAGTGACAATATGTCTTCAGATCATAAAATAATCATAATACAATATTGGATTAGTTTGCTAAGCTAACAATACAACCCTTAGTGGTAAAGTTAGCGGTTAATTTTGTAACTGCCATATTGCTAAGGACAGTTCCGCTTATCTTCCGTCCCAGTAAGTTTAAGATGTTTAGCCTAATAGGATAAGACGCAAGTTCACCACTTAGCAAAGTTTATTAATTAAACTTTTTGTTGTATCATAACTCAGTGCTAAATGAAAATCATCGAGCGAGAACATTGAGGGCAAGCGTGAACCTTGAATCTGTTATTTTCATCTTTAGTTAATTATAATATACTTTTTTAACATGTTTACTCATTAGCTATGAATATATATCTAGGAGTTTCAGAGTAAATAGTTTCATAATATTATGAACCCCTTGATAGAAGACACAATTTTAAAACAATTGACAACCTAACCAGAATCCTATAATCTTAAATTCAAAACCTTTAATATATATTTTTTTAAATCTTTCCACATAAGGGGGATGTAAAAGGGGGGGGGGAGGGGAATGTCAAACAATGATTATGATTTACAGTCAAATTACATTGGAAACTCCAGCTTACATTTACCATAACTATCTTGTATTCACTTGGTGAGCACTTTGGGAATCAAAACTCAAAACAGTTTTAATCGCAGATTGCATCAAATCAACAGACAAAATTATACAAGTTTTAACAGCACAAGTTGCTTCTCAAATGTTCTGTCTTCAATAGCCCCGTTGTCCCTTTAGTATTTAACCCCCACTTTTCCATTAAAAGCCTCATTGTCTTTTGAACCAAATAACTCCTCAATCCGTCTTGAAAGTTTTAGTTGGGACTAGAATTTCTTTTTGTTTTATGTCTGGTTCTTTTTGTTTGTATTTCTTTTCGTTGAAATCACTTCATTTTGAATCCCCTATGTTCATCTAAACACAACACACTTTATAGTATAATTGAGATCAAGTTTCAATTAAAAGGGTTTATATTATGCTTTTGTCACACAACTCAAATATACTACAAGAGGAACAAATATTTTTGTATGTAGAGCTTAACACAATTATACAAATAATATAATTCTGTGCATTTGAGATGGTTATAGCATTTCTACACTGTTCACATGAATAACAAAATCAAACCTTATACGCTTATACAATTGTTGTCAACAAAAACAGCTGAATACTGTACCAGACACGCTGACCCCTGAGAGAACAGTGAGCTAGATATATACTTGGGGTTAGTGTATAGACTGTGTAAGTACGATCAATGACCAAGCAGTTTAGAGCATTCTTTCATCTCAGCAGCTCTGTGTAGATCAAGAGCTTGAATGTTGTCTTGGTCAAGTCTTCAACTCGAGAAGTTAGCCTGAAGAAAAGAGATTGGTGTGGAAATTTCACATAACTAAGGGCGGTTCAGGTGGGATAGATTATTGTCACTTTTAATATCTGTTTTGTTTAGTTGATATTTGTGTTTCAGGATACGACCTCATAGAATGGCTGATGGAACGCCTCAACATCGAAGAGTCTGGTAAGTGTTTTACTTAAATAGTATGTTACGCTAGAGGGCGGTAATCGGTACTAAAAGTTGTTAAGGAAATTTGACGCCCCCGCCATGTATGAATTGGGTTTGTAGGTTTCTGTAAAAAGGGGGTCAATCCATGGTGATAGCTGTTGCCATTTGCCAGATGTGTTTGCAGAAAAGTGGTTTGACATAGAAAATGTGCGTTAGTGGCTTGGGGTATGTGTAAAAGCCTGAGCGGTGTTCGGATAAACGAGCCAGATTGAGGGTGTCATCAGTTTCCATCGTACAGTAATGGAATTTGAGGCAAGTTTGCTTGCAGATCAGCGTGTTTCAGACTTCCACTGCTGACTATACTCTTATAGAAGCCCCTTGCTAGTTCAGTAATCTCTCTTAATCAGTTGCACCACAATCCGCATGCGGAATTCCTTTAACTTTGGGCAAATGCAATTGATAAACTCAAGAACAACGTACAGCAGGCACCCTACACCACGAGAAACATCGTGCAATGATTGGTTCGCCTCAGAACTCCCTCCCTCCCCCCCCCTTGAAACACATTTTGTACGTCCAAACACTTCACTCCATTCAACTCCGTCAAGTAGCGGTTATGACTACTGAGACCAAAGAAATCACGGAGAACGTGGTTTTTACTTAGCGGGGAACTCAGCAATGGCTTTTTTTGAAAGTTTTTCCAGACTAATCGTTCCACAGGGTGGAAATCCGCTAGACTAGAATAGTGGGAAGTTAAGTTAAATGCACGACGATGGTCTGAAATTGTTTGCTTGATTGCGTCGAGAGCTTGAAGGAGACCTTTTACGGATTCTTATATTACTAGAAACATGTATAGGTATTGCAAACATTCACAGTAAGCGGAGGTGTTGAGGCAGCCTCTTAACATTTAAATCACCAATTTAACCCTCATTTCCCAGTAATGTGTTTGCATTTGCTTTGACAAATGAGCCTCATTTTGGAGAGACGGAAAGACAGAATAAATCATCAGCTGATTCATGTCGCCTCTTCCTGCGCGGGGCAATTCTGCGTGTTTCCTCAAGAAATGTGTTTCTGTAAGTAATGGGGCAAATAATACAGATGTTCTTTCACAAGTTAAATAACCCTGCACATAACATGAATAAGTTTTTTGTTACAATGCTGAAACTAAACACATAATGCTGGTATTTACTCAGGGGAGGTATAAAAGAGGCTATGATGACAGCTGTGGGCTTCTTATTAGCTGAGGGAACGCCATTACCGTAACAAAACGGTCGGTAGCCGTCGGCCTCGGTGGTCTAATGGTTAGCGTACCGGGCTGATATACTGAAGGTCCCGTGTTCGAATCCTGAAGGTAGCATTTTCTTTTTGTCCAACATTTTTTTATTATCAGCAAGTTTGGTTGGTTTGGTTCGGTTATTACAGTTTAATTTTATTATTAAGTCATTATAAAATTTTAATTGAGCAAATTCTAGTTTTATTTAATAAACAGAATTATTTTTCCGATTACTAAACTTTTGTTATATTATTTCTTTATCAGCAAGTTTGGTTAGTTCGGTTCGGTTATGATAGTTTAATTTTATAATTAAAAAAATTATAAAATTGAATTTGAGACATTTATAATTTTATTTTATGAACAGAACTATTTTTGCGATTAGTAAACCTTCATTGCCAAAGTGCTCTCTACTACAGCGCTGTTCACGGAGGAATTTTGAACTAAATGCCTCATTCGTACCTCCCCTAAGTCAGACCCCATAATGCTGAGCATTTGTTTTATAATGAGTAGTTTTACTATAGAAAATTGACATGAACATTTGTTTAAGGAAAACTGACTTATTAAATCAAACATAACAGATACCACACCATTATTTTAATGGTATTTGTAAAAAAAATACCTAAGAGAAAAACAGTAAATTTATGAAGCTGGAGCTTGGTTCTCCCTGTTGTGTTCTTTTAATCTACAGTACATGGGATGTAGATCAGCCCTGCCTAAACATCTGTCATACCTCTGAACTTCTCAGGAAAAGTATGAAGAACTGTTTTCCTTGGAATAAATAATTATAGTTTAGCACACACAAAAAGATTTATGATACAAAACTAAAACATCATACACTCATTTTAGAGCAAAGTAATGGTTTACTGGCAGAAAGAGACTCGAGGGTTTTACAATTAAGCTTTGTAAAATGTACAGTTATTTAACAATTCATAAATGATTAGACAAACTACTTTTTTATAGAATTGAGAGAAACTTATAATGAAACAACAGAGTTTAGTTAGTTTCGCGAATATAATACTTGTAGTTTATTTATTTCAGTTAAACAACTTTTGGTATGAATAGATTTTGTTTATATTAAAATGTGGGAGGAACGACTATGTGACCCAATGCTTCATCGAAACTATTTCTGTTTAATTTTAAAATACAAATATAGCTTTAGTCAAGTATACAATGATGTGAGAAGGGAGTGAGACTGTTACTGTTGGTAGGTAGCATTGTTTGAGAGAAGTAATGGAGTTTCCATGTATTCACATGCAGATCTTCTGTAATGAATACGCAGTTAAAGCAACATTAGCAGATGTAGGAGTCATTACAGTGTTATTTATTTACTTAAAAAGCTGTAGAAAATTTGAAAATGAAAAAGAATACAGAAAATGAAATGCGTAGGTTTTCAGGATAAGGATTAAGCTCAGGATAGGTTTCAGATTCAGTTTAGGGTGTCCTTTGGGTTGCACTCAACAATAAAAGATGTTACAGTCTCAAAATATTTGAGAACAAAATAAGTTGATTGTCTTATTGAACAAAGACATATTATTTATAATATTATAATAGTTGTTTCGGATTAAGAATTTTTTTGTTTTCTCATATTTAAAAAATTATTTTTTATTAGTTGTATAGTAGTTTGATATAGTAGTTGATCCACCTAAGTGCTCCCTCGGCAATGTGTGGTGTCTTTATTCATTCTTACATTATCATATTTATTCATTTTTGTAGCTGTCATATCCTTTAGTCTATCTTGACTTCATATGATTTAGTTAATAATTCAAATAAGGTCAAGACAGATGATAATTGTTTTTCAATGTTTACATTTTACTTTATTATAGTTAATCATAACAATTTTCAATAAAAGAGTTTCTTCAAATGTGTGCTTATTATGAACTCTAATTCAAAGTCACAACAATTATTTGGCGACGAAGGAAAAACAGAATTATTACATGTAAGATTACTAAATTTTTCAGAATTTGTGTTCAAATTATTTTGTATTCAAAATGAATGCAGATCAGTTCAATCAATTCCTTACTATCTTTCAAGAACAACAAAGACAACAGCAAGAAAACCAGAACAAGTTTATTAACGAAGTATTAGAAACTGTCTTAAAACAGAATGATCAACAGACTGAGATACCTCGGGTCAACTACTCAAATGTGGCTCCTTTTGAAAACTATGATCCAAAAAAAGAAAAATTTACATGTTACCTAGAACGTTTTGAAAACTATTACACCATGAAAGGCCTAACAGACTCAACTAAGATTGGACAGCTACTGTGCATCTCTATCGGCAGTGATCATTATAACAATCTTAATTCTTTTCTAGGCCCCGAGAAACAATTGAAAAGTCTCAACTATGATGAGCTTATCTCAGCATTCAAGCAGTTATTGATTCCTAAGAAGAACGTTGTAGTATCTCAACACTATTTTCTAAATGTATTTCAAAAAGAACACCAATCAATAACAGAATTCGTGGCTTCCCTACAACGTGATATTGCTTAGTGTGAATTTTCTGTCAAGTGTTCATGTGACCAGACAGTTTCAATTGCCGAAGTTTTCCTGAGAGCCCAGTTTATTCGAGGTTTGCGAGATGACTGGCTACGAGAACAAATTCTACAGTCAACTGAAACTACTTTTGAAGGAATCCTTACCAGAGCAATCGCCCTCGAAGCATCAAAAATTGAATCCAGGGAACTGTCTAAACGTTCACATTCAAGTAATGCAAATTTCAATATATGTGACGATGTGAATAAAGTTTCACATAAAGCAAGGAAATCTCAATTCCAAACCGGTAATCGACCTTCCAGACAGCAACAGGGTCACTCCTCACACTCTCGAAAACGTCCAGATCTGAAATCTCTTGGAATTGGTAATCTTTGCTTCAGGTGTGGAAAAGACAATCACCAAGCATCCGAGTGCCGCACCGACAAATCTAAGCTCAAGTGCAACAAATGTAACAAGCAAGGACACATATCTAAAGTGTGCATTTCGACCCTTATCGCAGAACAGAAGAAAATCAATTCTCCCAGTGCAGCCAACTACATCCAGTGCTGTTCTCCCACAGAGTCTAGGCCTACATCAAAATTTTCTGATTACGGACTAAATAAAGTAACTAATGTCAATTCAAGCCCAAAGTTACTAGATCTGTTTGAAGTAAACGATTCAGACAAATACATGATCACAGTTAATCTCAATGGTAAACCACAACAATTCGAAGTAGACACAGGAGCAAAATTCTCACTTCTAGCTAAAAATGATTTCAACAAACTCAAATTGGACATTCCATTGGAAACAACTAACATTGCTTTCAGAACTTACTCAGGTAATATTATCAAACCTGAAGGGAAAGTGAAAATAAATGTTACTTACTGTGGACGTTGCGTCAAAGAGGAACTCCACATTGTTCCAACAGGACACGAAGCACTCTTGGGACGTCAATGGATAAGAGCCCTAGGAATCGAACTGAACAAATTGAATGAAGACACAAATCAAAGCACTCAAATTTCCCAAATCAAAAGAATCCAGTCTCCTGAAGAAATCTTTCAGTCTTTTTCCAACATTTTTGAAGAGAAAATTGGATGCGTTCCAGACTTCAAAGTGTCATTACAGCTTCGATATGGTGCAAAACCTATTTTTGTTAAGGAACGAAATGTCCCACATGCTTTAACCGACCGAGTGAACAAGGAATTGGACACACTGGAAAATGAAGGGATCATTTCACCCGTGGAGGCCAGCGATTGGGGATCGCCACTGGTTGTCATTCCTAAACCAGACGGAGGTGTCCGCCTCTGCGTCGATTACAAATGCGGTGTCAACGAGCGTCTAATTCAAGCAAATCATCCTATAAGGCGTATTGATGATGTTATTGACAGTTTGCGCAATTCAAAATACTTTTGCAAACTTGACCTCTACAAAGCCTATTTACATCTCCAGGTGGATGAAGAATCTAGCATGATACAGACAATGACGACTCACAGAGGTACTTATAGAGTACATAGACTCAGTTTTGGCATCAAAACTGCACCATCAGAATTCAACCGCATACTCTCTCAGATCTTAAAGGGGTTACGTAAGACAGAAGCATATTTTGATGACATCATTGTGCATGGTTCGACCATTGAAGAATGCAGTGAAAATTTACAAGCCTGTCTACAGAGACTCTCTGATTACAATTTACATGTCAACAGAAACAAATGCTCATTTTTTCAAGAAAAAATTGAGTATTTAGGACGAGTCGTAGAGTTCAACAAAATTAGTAAATCTCCAACGAAAATTCAAGCAGTCCAACAGATGCCTCGCCCGTCCAATACTGAAGAGGTCAAACGTCTACTCGGACTTGTGTCGTACTACTCACGTTTCATCCCTGATGCTTCAACTATCACATATCCTCTGCGACGTCTGTTACAGAAAAATATGAAATGGGAATGGAATTCATCCTGTGAAGCAGCATTTTTACAAATCAAATCAGAGCTCTGCAGTGATCGAGTTCTCGTACCTTTCGATCCGGCTCTCCCTCTAGTACTAACTACAGACGCCAGCCCTACAGGACTTGCAGCCGTGCTTAGTCATGTCACAGAAGGAGAAGAAAAGCCCATTGCATATGCTTCTCGTTCTCTTACAGTTTCTGAAAGAAATTACAGTCAATTAGACCGTGAAAGCCTCGCTATTATTTTTGGCGTGTCACATTTCTACTATTACCTTTTTGGGACTCACTTCACACTAGTAACTGACAATGCACCCATTTCACGGATTTTCCAGCACAACAAAGCACTCCCTCAAATGACATCAGGACGTTTACTCCGATATGCATCTTACTTATCCGGGTTCAACTACACATTAAAATTCAAACCTGGCAAGGAAAATGAAAATGTTGACTGTCTCTCAAGAGCTCCACTTCAGCAAGTAAATTCGACTGTTGATGAAATCATTGCCAATGAAGTCAACCAAGTATACGAACAAATGATTTTCGAGATGTCAGATGAACACATAACCGCTTCAACAATAAGGAGTGAAACAGAAAAGGATCCAGACTTATCAAGAATTGTAAAAGATCTAAAAAACAAGTCTGATGAAACAGAATATACATTGGTTGACGGGATTTTATTTCGCCAAGATCGTGTAATTATTCCAAGAAGCTTACGACCATCAATCTTAAATGAACTTCATTATACCCACCTAGGTATAACAAAAATGAAACAGCTGGCCCGCCGCTACGTCTACTGGCCCAGTATCGACAAAGAAATAGAACGTATTGTCAAAGGATGTGAAAAATGTGCTCTCACACGTCACAGCCCTCCCAAAGTTCCAGTACATCCCTGGGATACACCACAAGAGAATTGGGAAAGGGTTCATATCGACTATGCAGGACCGCTTGATAATACATATTTTCTCATGTGTGTTGATGCAAAATCTAAATGGGCGGAGGTGAAAATCATCAAAGACTCACCTACTAGTGCGAACACAATTAATCTTTTAGAAGGAATTTTCTCATGTCATGGATATCCTCAAGTACTCGTTTCAGATAATGCTACCATTTTCAAAAGTGATATTTTTCAAAATTACTGCAAAACAAACGGTATTTTCCAGAAATTCATCGCTCCAGGGCATCCGGCAACAAACGGTTTAGCCGAGAGATCAATCCAAACACTAAAGAATCGCCTGAAAGCAGTCTCAACTGACCAAACTCCAATCCAAACCAAAATTCAAAATATTTTACAAAGGTACAGAGCAACACCGCTAGCTTGTGGTCAGTCCCCGGCGGAACTCTACCTGCACAGAAAAATAAGGATAAGACTAAATGCCATTTTCCCGTACAAACCTCAACCTTCAACTACACAGTCTTCACCTGCACGTTCACTATATGTGGGGGAGAGGGTACAGGTCAAACTTTTCATCAATAATAAAAACATATGGCAGTTTGGTCAAGTAAAGAAGAGGCTTGGGAAAAGACACTATCTCGTAGTTCTCGACTCATCTGATAGAATCCTGAAGAGGCACATCAATCAACTACGCCCAACGCTGGTACAGAGTCCAAAAACGAAAAATGTTACATTCGGACCAACGCAGTTGTTTGATGTTCCCAGAATTCCAAGACGACCAGAAATACATAGGAATCCAGATCCAGTTGCAGCTCCAGAACCAAGGCAACCAGAAGAACAATCTCCAGCAGAAAGAGCTCAAGCTGAGAATGTCATACCACATCGTGAGCAAGCTGATAATACCAACGCCAGACCACAGCGTAAGCGTCACATGCCCTCAAGATTTAGAGACTACCAGATTTGATTGAAAAAGATTGTTCTTAATTAGTGGGGAAGACTGTCATATCCTTTAGTCTATCTTGACTTCATATGATTTAGTTAATAATTCAAATAAGGTCAAGACAGATGATAATTGTTTTTCAATGTTTACATTTTACTTTATTATAGTTAATCATAACAATTTTCAATAAAAGAGTTTCTTCAAATGTGTGCTTGAACTCTAATTCAAAGTCACAACAGTAGCCCTCAGAATTGCTGAATTATAAAGTAATCAACGTAAAACCAGTCCTCCAAAAAAGGAATTAAACCAACTGAAGGCAAAACCTTGACTAGGACTAGGGTCAACTCTTGAGCCAGCCGTACGGGTTTAGCAAACAGACTATAGGCTCGAACCCGCTTTACCCCTCAAATTTAATGAATAACATTACTGAAAATTAAATCAAACTAGCAGCAACCTCCTTCTCTCAGACTTATTAACCACTTTTCTCCTGTTGTAGTTTGGTTACTTGTAACTATTTCTGTTGCAGTAGAGGCGGTCCATCTAGCCAACCAACTCTGTCAATACGGTTACTTCTTCCCCGTCAGCGACTCCAAGAACCTTGTAGTCAAAGATGACAGTTCCCTCTACAGGTTTCAGGTCTGTATCGTAGTATTCAGCTAATTGTTTTGAATTAGATTTTTACAACACCGACAAACCGTGTGTATTTTAAGGTAAAGATGAATGTTGACTGAATATAGCTTTGTTGCTATAAGATCAGCTGTATCTTTAACTAGGATCATTTATTAAAAGTCTAATAGTCAAGAACAGCTGGGTCCGGTTTCGAATCATGGAAACGATTTTGAAATTCAGATTCAGCCACCCAGCTATGCCTTACATCACACACACACACACACACACATTATTAAAGAAGTCATCAAACAGCGTAGTAACAAATCTACGTAACGCGTCTCACTTCATTCTTCACTCACCATTCGTTCATATACAGCATAAATTACACACCTGGGTGTGAGCCGCTGTTTTTAACTAGACTATAGAATTTAAAATGAAATTATAACAATCTCAGAATCTGACTTTCTTACAAAAAAGTCTTAGACGGTGGCGACGTCCTGTAATCCAGCTACTAGGAGGTCAAAAATTGTGGATATTTATAAGCATGCCCTGTGGATACGATACTCCCTAGTGTGGATTAACATCCGCACTATTGAGTACTACAACTATCCGCAGTAGGCCTACTATCCTGATAATTAGACTAATTCGTTAATACTAAGGCAAAAATGTGGTTCGGATTTCACTATAAAATGTAGGTCCCTTAGTTGCCATTAGCTGCATGGGCTATTAATTAACAGCTGTGTCTAAGGAATGTCGGCCTTAGTCACTAACAAGACTACAAGATCGAGCCACTCATCCTACACTCATCTCCATTCATACTTGGGTTAAAATACCTACTTTGTATGGTCGCCATTTCATTGAAAAGTATTAAAGTACAGAAATATTGGTAAAGCTTTTAGTCTAAATATATGATGTAAACTAACGAGAAATCATTACCTTTTGAACGAGATCTCGATTGAAAGCGCAAAGCTGTAATTTATAAGACAGATCAGTCAAAGTGTCAGCCAGCTCAGATTGATTGAATACAATCAATCCGACATTAAACCTCATTAGAAGTCTTAGCACTTAAGCCCTGATGTATATTGGCAATCTACATAAACCTGAAAATAATTACTGAGCTGTATAAATCATATGCATCATAGAGTATTGTGATGAAGTTAAATGTAATGTTATTTCCTCATTTCTGACTTAACACAGTCATTTGGACTTCATTTGCAGTTTAAAGATGCAGGCCAAAGTCTGAAACTGCTTTATACAGATTTGTTGAATTATTTCACACCACAATAAGTTGTTTTATTCAGATATCATAAATGGCAGAGCACCTACCATTTACCTAAATGCCTTCTGTCCACCAATCACCTCCTTTTGAGGAAGGTGACTGATCGGTAGATGTCTTTACACGTTATTGATGAGTACCAATAAATTCTGTTTTCTATAGACACCAGCTGCCAGAATTTAGTCTATGATTTAAGAAAATCCTATAATCTTTTACTAATGTAGAAGACCTTTCTTGTGTTGCCAATGATAACGAATTATAATTGTAACTAGCTGTGTACCCGTTCTACGCACGGGGATCTTATAATATTCAGTTGAAACCTTCTTATATAAAGAACAGCAGTTGGTTTGCATATTTTAAGATATGCTGGCCAAACTATTATACATAGCTTCATTTTATGTTGTTTTTTGTTGTTCCGGATCGGTATGACAATCAATAAAAGGTTAAATTACCTCTGTGTCTGCCGGTCGATCCTATAACGGTAGGCTTACTTTTATTTTTACTATCTGATCTCGTTTGCATGGCTCAATCACGTCCTGGTTGAAGTTCGTTCGCTACGCTCACTCACCTGTATGTTGGAGCTCGTTCGCTGCGCTCACTTTCCTTCAGGTTAGCTCGTTCGCTACGCTCACTTGCCTTCAGGTTAGCTCGTTCGCTACGCTCACTCGCCTCCAGGTTGCAAATTAGCTGTTGTCATAAATGTAAAAGAAATAATAGTGCTAGTGCTGCACCCTGTTGGTAATCCTTGTAACTTTAATGCTATTGAACATCACAGAACAGAACCAACTTGTTTAATTGAAACAGCTGTTAAGATTCAATAATTTCATTTCTCATAAGGTTAACATGGGCTTCCAGAAATTCCACGTCAAAAATCGACAAAAACTTGATTTTCAAGGGTTTACTGTTAAATATCTAACTGTCTCATATTCGATGAAATACGTCTAAAACCATCTCATATATGTATAGTATTTGGAAAATAAGTTTATTCAGGCGGGACAGTGCTATAGTTATTGAGGAGTAGTTGTAATAAAGTGCGTATTTTAGCGTTACCAAGAGAATGACAGATAGACAGACAGACAGACAGACAGACAGAAATTGAGATAAGGTTTGATTCGGTTTCTCTGACCTATGAAATGTAAAAATAACCAAAAAGTTCATTATTCTAAGCAATGTACAGACAAAACTCTAATTTTATTTATATAGATTTCAATAATGTGCGTTGAAAAAATAAATACAGATTTTGTAATTTTCTCAAAGTATTTTTTCAAATTACTTACATTATAAACACTTTTATACACAGTAAAAATCTTATGTTCAAGTAGTTAATCAGGTTTCCTTTATTGATCAGATTTTCACCATTGAGTGGTCATTTTAAAGCTTATGATATAGCGTAGAGACGAGTAGTAAGTCAAAAGGCAAGTTCCTTCAGGGTTTTTTCCTCCTAGCTTTTGATTGATTCCCAGAATATCCTTTCAAAAGTCCAGTGATGCTGATCAACTTGCTTTATATATAACAGTTTTAAAATGTGAATTGTAATAGCTCAGATATTAAAAAAAAACGTTGACACAAAAGGTAAGAATACTGGGATCATCTAAAATAAAAAGTATTATATTGTTTTCGTTTGAAACTATGAAAACTGAATTCCTAAAGGGTTTTATTTTCAATCAGAATTGTTGAAAACACCGTTTCCATAACTGACCCCCGAGCTGTGACATTTCATCTTCGCTTCACGCTCTGGTTGAGCCGCAATCCACAGAGTGGTTCACACTGCGAATGTCATCTTTTGTCCAACCTAGACATAATCTTCGCCTCATTCTTACATTCCAGATAAACATTCTGTAGCTAGAAGCTTAACACTGGCCTTATCACAAATAGAAATTATTGACTCAAATTCTTAAAGGTTCTTGTAATATGTTAGACACAACTTACATTCTGGAACTCTAAAAAAAGAAACTCTTAAACCACGTTTATACTAGAGTTTGCAACAAAATGTTTAAAATCAAGAACTATTGAACAAGTCATTTGCTAAAAGCTTGTTGATTCCAAAAAAAAACTGGCGTTTGTTGGATTGTCGTAAGCTTTTATTTAAAACATGTGTTGTAAACCCTGATGTTGACAATTTTGAGCTCAAACGACTAATCTTTTGTCAAATTGTAGAATACAGTTGGGAAAATATCTATACTTATAAAAGGCAAAGCCCTCACTGACTCACTCACTCACTCACTCATCACTAATTCTCCCACTTCCCATTTACCTAGGAGGCTGAAATTTGGCACACCGATTCTTTAGGTATTAAATAGGAAAACTAAGTTGTTTTTATTCTGATCGGACCCTCGGGCTCCGCCCCAGTGGCTCTCGAGTTCCCCATGTTAACCTTATGATTTTTCATATTTAAAAGGAATTAATGAATCTTATCAGCTGTTTCAATTAAACAAGTTGGTTCTGTTCTATGATGTTCAATAGCATTAAAGTTACAAGGATTACCAACAGGGTGCAGCACTATTATTTTTTTTAATTTATGACAACAGCTAATTTGCAACCAAAAGGTGAGTGAGCGTAGCGAACGAACTTCAACCTGGAGGCGAGTTAGCGTAGCGAACGAGCTAACCTGAAGGCAAGTGAGCGCAGCGAACTAGCTCCAACCTAAAGGTGAGTGAGCGTAGCGAACGAACTTCAACCAGGACGTAATTCAGCCATGCGAACGAGCTCATCTTGAAAATTAAGAAGTTAAACGGGGCAAAGCCCGCGGGTACAGCTAGTCTAAATATATAAAAGGCAAAGCCCTCACTGACACACTCACTCACTCACTCATCACTAATTCTCCCACTTCCCATTTACCTAGGAGGCTGAAATTCGGTACACCGATTCTTTGGGCATTAAATAGGAAAACTAAGTAGTTTTTATTCTGATCGGGCTTTCGGGCTCCGCCCCAGTGGCTCTGGAGTTTCCTATGTTAACCTTATGATTTGTCATATTAGAAAGGAATTAATGAATCTTAACAGCTGTTTCAATTAAACAAGTTGGTTCTGTTCGATGATGTTCAATAGCATTAAATTTACAAGGATTACCAACACTGCAGCACTATTTTTTTTATTTTTATTTATGACAACAGCTAATTTGCAACCAAAAGGTGTGTGAGTGTAGCGAACGAACTTCAACGTGGAGGCGAGTTAGCGTAGCGAACGAGGTAACCTGAAGGCAAGTGAGCGCAGCGAACGAGCTCCAACCTAAAGGTGAGTGAGCGTAGCGAACGAACTTCAACCAGGACGTGATTGAGCCATGCGAACGAACTTCAACCAGGACGTGATTGAGCCATGCGAACGAGCTCATCTTGAAAATTAAGAAGCTAAACGGGGCAAAGCCCGCGAGTACAGCTAGTAGTATATAGAATACAGTAAAGAGAAAACAAGAGTATATAGTATACAAATACTATACTTATGAAAACAACTTAATTTGCGTCATACGTTAATTAATTATCATCGTACAGTACACAGCAACCTCGATTGGCAAGAAGAACATTTTAATAGCGAGATACATTTTGAAATGCCCTTGCATTTTTGTGAATGATAAAATCCAGACCAATGTAATAGCAACAGAATTTTATAATAAGGAAAATTTTGTAAAGTATAACTTGATAACAAGATGAATTTTATCGTCACTTTAGAGATTTTTAAGATAAATCTTATTTATTAGTACTACAATTAGTTTTTTTATTAAAAGTAACTTGTATTCAATATAAGTTATTCCTACATTAAAATGTTTTTAATAAATTTTATGAAATATAAATCTATCTCTTAGCCAAACACGATCACACACAAAATTTAATTTGGTCGAACAAAGTTAAAAACACATTTTAATTAGGTACAATTCCAATGTTCAGATTCAATCAGTATTGTTAGCGTAAGCTTGGTTATAGTTATTACCTCAGATACAATTTCAAGGTATGAACACAATGATGATATTGGTTGTTTGATTCAGCTTTGCAACATGGATTTGATTTGACTATTGAAATTGTTTGAAATGTCAAAATCACACTTTGTTTGCTAGCTTTGTAATTTTGATTGACTATTTAGTAAACTACGAGGAGGACTTGTGTATTTTAATTGTATTCAGAACTTGTTTTGGAAGCATAACAAATAACAAATAATGCAGTAGCCTTTAAATTTTCAAAGATTATTGTGGTTTCCTGTAAAACAATCATTTGGTGAATAAAACTAAAGTTTGATACTACATTTTATCAGTACAGTCCACCCTTATTGTACTGTACCTGTTCACCCCTTGCTTTGCTGGATACGTTGTCTCCACACACAGATCTGATGCCTATGTGGACAGGCTTATAAAAGAGGCTGTCAACCTCCAAAAGAAATTAATGACTGATGTTTTGTCGTTGTTGTTGATGTCAAGCTGATGTTTTGACGTTGTTGCAGACTCCTTACTACTGGCCTTGGCAACATAGAAGTCCGGACAACGTAGAGTACGCAATCTACCTGTGCAAACGTACACTACGCAACAAACAGCGCCATGGCTTGGAGGAGTATGAAACTGTGAGTTAAATAGTAAACGATCATGTGAACAGTCATAACAACTAACAAGTTGTAAATTTAAAAATCAGCCAGCGCTTGATGTATAAAATTAGAGGTACCGGTACTCAATTCTAGCAGGTATATACTCAAACCATTGTGATCTGCAACAAAGGAAACAGAGATCGCTAAAACCATACTATGCAGCGGTATTTTTTGGATTTTTTCACCCTAGAGCGGGAAAGTCCCAAAAGAAAGTTTTCTTTCAAACTAAATATTTTATTTTAAATGTGAGTGGAGTTTAATAAACACTCCCGAAGTTTACATTTCAAATTATGTCTCAGTTATCTGGAAATAAAGGTGATTATTTGTTTTTATTATTGTTTTAGGAAGCTCTTGGATCCCTCAAAAAGACTCTTCAAAACAAATGGGACTTCATTTCTATGCAAGCAGAAGAACAGGTGATTATGCAGCCATTAAAATAATGAAACCCGCAAGTTTGAATTTTAATATTACTTTTGGATTGTCTTTTCATTACTTCCACCCTCATTTAGAATTACTATGTTTAACTAAGTATTTTGTTACCTGACTCAAATAAGAAATGAATGCAATAATATGAAGCTGTCGATTCCAGCAAAGACTTAGTTAAGACTTAGTTATCAGTATTAAAAATAGCATCATACATGAGTTAAAAGCCTATAAGTTTTTGGCAATAACGAGATTTGGTAGATGAGTAATTATGGTGCTTACCATCAGAGTTCAGATCTATATCTCGCTAGTGGAGTACTGAGAAAAGTCAGCCAAATCTATACTAAATGATTAAGTCTAATTTAATTCATATTGGGATTTTTTCTTAGAAACCTAATTAGGTAGTTGATTAGTTCATTAAGGGGTGGTGATACACATTGTGTTTTAAGCTGAATTGCGATTGAAGAGCGACTAGATGACCTATAAGCTTTGTTACTGACTAAAATCAGCTGTTTATTTAGCTAGAACCATTATTTAACTGATTGTGAGGACAGCTGGTCAAAGTTTCACTTTAGATTATTACAGTCCTAATTAAAGTGAAAAACTATACTCTGTTCACAAAATTTAAGCGGTTGTAGGGGAAGAAATCTATCCCCTCCACTTGACCATCTTACCATTAAATCTTGGTATTAACGAATTGGTCTAATTATGATAGCACTGTGCATAGTCGTAGTACTCCACACCAGGGAGTATAAATTTAGATGATTTTAGCCAAGATAAAAAGAGTTTGAGTCTTCTCAAGTCCACAACACGCACCTTCTGATTTCTATGTCCTCTGAGATACCACACTGGAACACAGCGAGAAAGTATTTCATAGCTAAAGAATTTTAGTTGTTTTACTTAATAGGAAAGAAATACTGATCGGTCTGATTTTAGGTGCGTCTGGCAAAAGAGAGAAAGAAAGGAGACAAGATAGTGTCGGACAGTCAAGAGCGAGCATACTGGCGGATCCATCGGCCCCCGCCAGGCTTCACCTCTTCCTTGGAGCCGGTCCCCGTCTGCAACCGCGGGGGCTCGGGGTCGAGGCGACGTCGGACTAGCACAGACGTCCGCAGAGAGGTAGGACTGTTGAACTGTCATTTAGTTTATTTATCATTGCCACCAGGATTGATTGGAACATGTAACTAACAGGTTACATACCTTAACATCCTTGACGTAGTCTCAGGTGTCTAGTTTCAAAACATTAAAGTTCTGTTTTAAACCTTGTCGTCCTCTTGAGATTAGTTCAACACATTGTTCATGAGACAAAAAAAAGTTTAATCACATGGACACGTATACATTAACAACAAATTTGTCACCGATCGTAGCACACAATCACAGGTGGTATTGGAGTTGTGCTGAGTCCGTCATCGTTAACGATTATACTTTTGTTCCTCATGGATCACAACAGCAACCCTGTGTCATCACTAATATTTTAAACATACAGTTTATTGTGCAGTTCACCCTTTGCTATGCTTAAAAACTTCTACGGACACAAGGTCCATGTGGCTAAAATTTGACTTTACCTTGACAGAACTCAATCGTCATCCCACTGTTGTCAAGAAGCTATAACTATCATAGACTAACCAACACAAGTAAACTTCTCATCCCATTGTAAATTTTGAAGCTTGTTTTTCGTGTCTAGTTCATGTCCAGTGACACTGATCACTAGAGTAGACAAAATTTGGTTTCTGTTATTTTAGAGTTAGTTTCAGTGATTTTGTGCTTTACTGTTTGGTTATATCACTAGAGGGTTGTTGTTCAAAGGTTTATTGCGGACATTTTCCATCACGAATGTAAAAAACAATACACAACGTTTCGGGATCTGGAATCTGATCCCATCCTCAGGTAAAAAAACTTAACTAACACATTACAACTAACAATACACAAACGCCCAACCTAAGTTGGAATACACTACAGAGGGTAGTAGTCAAAAAATATGCACTGTATAGCAGTCAAGTCATCCCCTCAAGTCCTCTGTAGTGTATTCCAACTTAGGTTGGGCGTTTGTGTATTGTTAGTTGTAATGTGTTAGTTAAGTTTTTTTCACCTGAGGACGGGATCAGATTCCAGATCCCGAAACGTTGTGTATTGTTTTTTATATTCGTGATGGAAAATGTCCACAATAAACCTTTGAACAACATTAACTCACCATCACCAACAATGAACTTCAAACAAAGGACTAGAGGGTTATCGGTTATCACTATTGTTTATAATTAGGTTGTTTTATTTGGTTAAACGAGGTTTTAAATTACTAAAAATAACAAGAAAAAAATTGTAAACAAAACACAACCTTTATAGTGCACCAGACAGAACTAACAATAAAATTGGTTTCAGCTGTTCCATGGATGAGAAATCTACTAACTAATGGAGTCTGTTTATCTATGCTATTATCAGTTAAAGAGTAGTTACAATTTTTTGTCAAAAAGGTCGTTGTGTACAAGAGTGACTGATGTAAATGACTGATTTCTGACCAATACGTTGGCTTTTTAACCAAGTCAAACTGATACCTTGTTGTAAGCTACAGCATTTATTTTACAAATCAACTATACAGTAACAAAAACTAATGCAGAAAATATAATTTTATACTGTGGCGCATTCTGTACGTAGCTCATTCAACAAAGTTTTTTTGGTTTTTTAGCGAATTTCCCATATAGGGAATAAGCTATTACCGTAGTACTCATGGTAAGACCTGGACGCGGGACCGATTTTTTTTTTCGTTTTGAGGTCCCTAGAGGCCAAAAACACCATCCGTTCAAATTCATATATATATATATATATGTGTCCGTCAGCACGATAACTCGAGCAAAAATGATCCGATTTTGATGAAATTTGGTACAAACGTGTAAACGTACGTTTATTCGAACGAGTTCGCGATCCAGCATGATCGGACCATGGGAACGGGGGTTTACGGGGGGTTTTATGGGGTAAAAATAGGTTTTTCCCATTTTTGACCCAAAAAACATAAAATTTAGCAATTTCTTTCCAAACCATTTTGTAGAGCTTAAAAAAACAAATAATTTAGTATATTGAAGCGTTATTATGCGCCTAATGGTTACGGAGAAAATTCCAAAAAATCGTAAATTTAAAATTCCCATGTTATTCTTATGGAGAATAAGTAAGCTGTTGTAGTTTGCTTGTTTGTGAACATATTTTGATAAAATTTGGAAAATGTTTTTATTTCTTACTAACTATTCACATTTTACAAAAAAAAACTGTTTTACCCTCCCTGATGCAGCAAACCAAAGTACTTGTTAAACTAATTCTATTTAAATCAAGAATAAATGTTATATTTTTAAGTAGACGTTTCAGTGTAAATCCAATCAGTCGAATGGAAATTCGCTTAGTCTGCAGGTTTGCTGCGGCGGGGGTATTTTTAATAGGCTACAGCTGGTCTTATATAAATGTGATGGGGTCATGAACCAACTGGAGGCCCATGTGGCTAAGATTTAATTTACTGTACCAGGAGTCAAGTGTGCTACTTTAGTACTTGTAGTCAGTGAGACGCCAGTTGGAATGCAACAATCGGTTCACTCTCTGTGTAGGTGGAGTTTCTGCGGGGTTGTATGAGTCGGTCGCGCATGAAGGTGTCGCAGGCTCTGGAAGGTCTGATGCAGCATTGTGACACTTATCTGGAGTACGACCCTTTGTTGTCCGGAGCTCAGCCCTCCAATCCGTGGCACTCCGAAGACACTGCGTTCTGGCATTTTAATAGTCCTATGTAAGTATTATTACTTAAAACTCAAGAGAAAGTTTGTATACCGTACATCAAGTTTAGAATTAAATAACTATGAAATTTTATGTTTTGATGACTGATTTATGATGCTATTTTAATTTACTCAACTTGTAAAATGTATGAAAATGTTTTAAATTTTAAGTTGAATAGCTGCAATAAATCATATTCAATTGAATCAATTGTCTGTGTAGTGTATTCAATTAATGAATAATCTTATTCTTGGGTATAAAAGCTAAGTTTGTAACACCTCTGTCTTTTTGAACTGACAATACTTTAGCAAACCTAAAGTTCTCACAGCAGTCATAGCGTTTGATGTATTAACTCATTAACTGATGATGTTTCCTTTGGCAAAACATATGCCAAGCCAAAACAACCCTAAGCTGACATCAAAGTTAAAAATTTGTTTGATGAAAAATATTAATGTCTCTCATCAAAAAATATCTGTCTTAAAGAGAAATCATATGAACGAAAAGAAGCATCTTTGACACAAGTATCTTAGCTAATTCACTGAAGTTAGTTTTAAAGCAATTAAATGTTTATATTGATTTAATTTTATCCTAAACCTTTCGATCTTTTACAGTGTTGAAGTGCCTACAGAGAAAAGAGTGAAGAGGTGGGGCCTTTCCATGGAAGACCTAGTGTCGGATCAAACAGGTTGGATATATCATTTTAACTACGGTATTCGTTAAAACTACTACAGTAGACTCCCGATATCTACATGAGGATTAAATACGATCGCAAACAAATTAAAATTAAAAAAGTTAAATGTACATTATACAGCGACGATCAAAATGTTTAGAATGAAGGCCCATCATCTTGCGGGCAGACTATAAAGTTGCCGTGGTTGACTGACTACACCAACCATTGATATTATATTGTCACCGATAAACCAATGAATTAAAGTTTAACTTGGTGTTTTTTTTTAGATATTTTTGTCTAAACTAATCTTCACTGCATTTACTTAAACCTTTATTAGAGCTTAACTATACATTCAAGTCATAGTTATTGCGAGGACATTTTAGGTTAAGTTTGCGTTCTATTTTGTTCGTCCCGATCACTCAGTTACTCGTTATTGTATAAGCGGGAGTCTTCTATATTGTACAAGTGTGCTACTGTGGTAGTAGTCACTAGAGCTATAGTGTAGCAGCTGGTTTTATTACTTCATGTTTCAACTGTTTTGTTTGTGTTGTGCTAGACCTACTTGTTGCTAGAATATTTCACTTAAATCTTGTTAGCACCAAAAGAATCATGTTCAGTTTTTCACGATGTTGGTTCAAAAACTAATTTACATATTATCAATGAATAATTTAAAATACTAAAACTATTATAGTTCAAATACCGTGATTTTTCATCTAGGAATCCAAGAGTTTACCAATTATCTACGGAAGGAGTACAGCCATGAGAACATTCGGTTTTGGATGGCCGTCAGAGACTTGCGCAGAAGTTCCCATTCCCAAATTCCACTTAAGGTTCAGGAAATTTACGAGTAAGTACCTCCTACCTGACTCATTGAAACTGAAAGCATATGAAGTAAAATTTGTTACAAATTCCAAAGAAAAGTGCAAGCTTACTGTAGTTTTGAATACATTTTTAATTGCCTTGGAGGGTATACGTCTTTGGTTGATCATAAAGCTCATCCTTAAACCTTTCAGGGAGTTCCTGGCACCTGGCGCGCCTTGTGAGATCAACATCGATGGTAAAACTATGGAGAAAACGCAACAAGAAATGAAAAACCCGACGCGGTGGACGTTTGACTACGCGGCCGAGCATGTGTACACTCTGCTACTCAAGAAAGACTGTTACCCTCGCTTTATACGCTCTGACCACTATAAGAATCTCCTTGCTACCGGGGTCCAGCCCTCTGCCAAGAAAAGGTAATTGAAGTGCTACCTTTCAACTGTAATATTCTTAGAAAACACTTTAGTTATTAGAAGTAGTAGAACTCCCAATATCCAACTGTGGAGGTTGCTGGTGGGACACCAAGAACCGCCCTGCTAAGAAACCATGTATTCATTTGCAGACTGTGATCTGTTTAAAGGTCTGCAACCAAACCATATTTTTCTTTTCCTTGCTTTTACCAATTCGTCATCATAATACGTATTCGTCTTCAAATAAATGATCCATCAATTTCCTCAATTACATTTTTATTCTCAATAACAAATTTATTTTACCAGGTTTTTTGGCTTCGGAGGCGCTGGAAAAAAGAAGAGTTCAACAAGTGCTGCACCTAACCTGAGCGGGCTGCAAGCGGCCGCAGCAGCTGCGTGTAGTCAAGCGGCAGTGAGCCGTAGACGAGGCAGCGACAGGAGTTTGACGGGGTCGGCGCACGAGCTGGCCGTCAGCGGCATTACTCGGGACCGGGTGGGCCACTCCCACAGCCAAAGTAACCTCAGTGATATTCCATACAGGTGAGGCAACATTCCCACACGAACTTGTCTGCACCTGCACGAACAGCTTACGCTTGATGTGCAATTCAGCACACAACAAACCGTTGTGGTTCTATTTGTAAATACTTTAGCGTGGATGTACAGTTATTTGTGCGACTTATTGCATTATTGATGGGTTAAACAATGCCATTAACAACATTGAAATTTGGCAAAGTGATGAATACTCTCTGTTTACATACTGTTATGTGATCTTCGTAAATTAATAGTTATTAATTTAAAACAAACGTTTTTGTAAAGTTTTTTTTTTTTTTTTGAGGCTGACATCTAGAGTACAAGGGTCTAGATTTTTGGGGAAAGAACTCAAACTGGCACAAGAATCACAAAGATTTATAGACTCTTCAACTCAGTAAAGTTTTCTAACGTTTTGTGTATAGTTTAAAGTTTTGTGTTTTTGTGTCAGTTTGAACTCTTTCCAATTCAGACAGATCTGCTATCCTTTATTTATAATATTTTACTTGCATGAATCAATTGAATCTACTACATACGGTTTTCTGTAGATTATTATTCAATTAAAAATCAAATAACCTTTGCCTGAATTTTATTTTACTCAGTTGTCATCCAGAGTGGGGAAAAGTAGTGGGCTAGGTAAAAAAGAGGAAAAAATAAAATCATGTACGGTATCCTATCTATTTATTTGTACACCTAACCTCATCAAATAAATTACATTCTAAGTTGAAAAGTTCACAGTTGATTTGGGATAATAATTGACTTGTCATTGTAAAAATGCTAAAAGTAATTACTATAAAGACCTATCATTGTTCAAAAAGTAACCATTGGAAATCATGATGGTTTAAGCAACTCTATTGCTTGCTACATTATTATACAGTGTAATTTTTTTTCACTGCTTTATTTTCTTGAGAAATAATTTAGAGACCGATGTTTTCACCCTGATTCTTTATTAGCCGACAATATTTACTATAATTTAAAAAAAGATGAGTCTAAATCCTGATTCTGTTCCGTTATAATGACTGTACGTTTCCAGAAACATGAAAAGATAAATAAATTAAAACTGCATCAAATCTAAAAGAATTTTTCAAACCTGTACTAGGTGTCTTAGCATTATCTCTTACAGAATAATTCACGAAGTTTAATATTTTGGGAGTGAAAGGCAACTTCAGAGTTTAGATTGTCTGTAGTTTTTAGTGGCTTCAGTAATCCTAGAGGTAAAGTTAGCATTTTGGTAAGTAAGTATGTAATATTTAGTGTAAGACTACTTTATTAGATTTTTTGCTGGAAAACGGGTGGAAAACTTTACAAACAAATTACAATATAGTGTACAACGATAAACAGTCGCATGTTTTACAAAAACCATTGATCATATTTTTTTCAAATTAACCGGTAACAGCTACGGTGAAAGAGATAGAAAAAGCTAGCATTATTTTACTTAGGTATTCTTTGCTCCATGGCTGCTGGGCTGATGGATTGTGTCAGAATTTATTTACAATTTACGAATAGATGTTTCTTATATTATTTTAATTTTACTCTTAATGTTCTTACATCTACATGTTATGATTGCCTTGTGTGTGTTTTTACTTCAACTTTAGACAATTATTTTTTTTTAATATTTTCTTGGACTTTTTATGTGCAATCTTAGTAAGATTTCCAGTAAAATTTATTTTAGAAAAAATAAAGAAACAAAATTTACTCAGTTTGTCCCTATACAAATCCACCACAAATAAATTACACATTAAAAATTTTGTCAACTAAGCATGATATGTTTTTTTCTTCAAATTTGTTAACACTTTTAAACTTTTAATTCAACTCGCTGTCAGTTTGTTGTTCTTATTAGAATTTTTGTTCATGTTTCATTTGGCTTTATGTTATGTGAATAAATCTTTTTGTCTTTCCATTACCCTATTTAAATAGTAGTTATAATTCATACTATTTATTTAGGCTTATATAGTAACCATTATTTGTTATAGTTTTTTTTAAATAATTTGTATGGTAGCCTAAATACACTATTGTATCTCATACAGTCAGTGGTCTATAATTTTTTTCAACACAAACAAAATCATTTTTTCCTATATATTTTTTACTTCCCATTTAAATTAATCTTTTCGCAACTCAGTCTACGCACAGGCCCTGCCTATGTAGACTTTTTCCTTTCTTATAGAATGTATTTTTTTTTTACACTTTCATTTACTTATTTCTACAGTATATAATTTTTGTTTTGTTATCTAGTTAGTAATATTTTGCTGTTTCATATTTAAGAAAAGAAAAAAATACAATGTACTTGTCTGTAAATAATTTATGGGAAATAAAATATTATTTCATTTCATTTCATTTCATTTCATCATGCTTTACTATAAAGATTCACCTGTACTTGTCAACATAATCTCATATATTACTTTATACATAATTTGCCTCTAGGATTGATTTATTGATATAAAATGAGGTTTGAGACTCTATTAGTTTTACCACAGAAAACGTACTACTATAGCCCAGAATGCCAACCGCATGGTAAAAAGCATTAAGTGTTTTAAGAGAGCTTTGCCTGTCAATCCGTAGGCAGCGCCACCAGCGTTGCTATTCTATTGCATGGCAACGCTGGTGGCGCTGCCTACGGATTGACAGGCAAAGCTCTCTCAAACCGCTTAATGCTTTTTACCATGCGGTTGGCATTCTGGGTTATAGTAGTACGTTTTCTGTGGTTTTACTCACATCACAACACTTTGCAGCAATTTACCCAACAAATTTAACTTGCATCTACTACAAAGAGCTTGCACACTTAGTTATGAATTGTTTTATTTTATAGCGTAGACTAGAGGTTTTGCTCGTCCGCTAGCTTCAAAAGCGTAATTTGTTTGCCAGTTTACTGCCCGATGTTTTCCAATGGACTGTGGGATTTACTGTAACCATAGGTAAGGGTACGTGTTTCAGAGGAGACCTGCCCCAGGGTTCATGGTCCAACCTGTAAGTTCACAGCTTCGCATAAATGTTCACACCTTCTATGTGTCTTTTGCAGGTTGTGTGAATGACCGACTGTTACGTTTACAAATAGCATGGTTCTCGAGATTTTTATGTGCAAAAATTGTTTAAGGAAACTGGATTTTTTTAAGTGGTTGTTAAAGGAATTGTTTTAATTTATTGGGAGGATATTTTAACATATTTTATATATTCAATGTTTGGACCTTCTTTATCTGTGTCAAATTTAGTTCTTGTAATTTTGAAACTAGTTTTTCTTTTTGTATCCAATTGTTTATTGTTGAAGAGAAGAGAGAATCAGAAATGACAGGTCGACTCCTAAATAAGATGTGTTTTAAGAGTAGAAATACAGTGAAATTAAGGGACACTTACTAGAACAATTTGATCTCTGATTCTTTCTTCTTGTCATCTGATTTCCCCCTTTCACCTTTGATTATTCTTCCAAAGATGTATCTGATCTCATCCTGTGGTGTTTCCTCTTTTGTGCTCATTGATTTTTTTTTTCTTCTAGACAATTTTATAACTATTTCCCTTTTTTTCGTCAAACCGTTATAAACGTTGCTCTTTTTAAAAACATACTTATGAAACCCTATATAATATTGGAATAATATCAAAAATAAATTATATATATATTTATTTATTTATTCCAACGGGAAACCCATTACATTGATACATTACAAAGAAATAACAATAAAAATCAAGGCAAGATGTGATACAAATACTACAAATAATCAACAACAACAGCAGCAACGAATTAATACAATAAGTCTAAATTCTACAGCAAAAAATGTGTAAAAATGTATAAAGTAAAGTCAATTCAATAAACTAAACACTGTAAAAAATAAAGTTAAAGTTCGTGGAATGTTGCTCTTTTGAAACAGTAGTAAAACATGTTTTTAAGTGAAACCCTTTTCCTATAAGTATGTTATTTGATTAAATTATCTACATAAGAAAACTTCAGTATATTTTCTTTACAGTTGATTTTTTTTCTTTCTCTATTTGTTGCTCTGTTCATGTCCCCTTTATTTGCATCGATATGTGTGTGGTTGTTTTTGTATTCGAGAATAATTTGTTATTCATTCTAAAATTGAGTTTTATAAAGCTACAAATTGAAGCAGACTAATAGTGAGTAATGAGACTTTTTCTAAAAATTTAAAAATACATTCAACAATCGTAATTAATTTGGAATACCAACAAGAATATTCAGTTTGTATCCTGACATTGTTTCCGACTGCTCACAACCAAATATACATCTTGTTCCCTATTCTGTGGTTTAACATTTTTTGTATACCTTAAATCAAGGAAAAAACAAACCTTTTCGTCTATATTTCTTGCAATATCTTATAGCTTCAAACGAGCTTAACTAATTTCATTCTGTACACTTAAATGTAATCTTATCTGAACTGGTTATGCTTTACTGTAGTACTTACCTGATGTACTTACCTGAATGTTAGGCGACGTAAGAAATTATGTTTTTATTGAGCATCATAAAAATGTACCAATTTTAATTGAACTTAAATCCAGGGTCAAATTTGAGGGAATACAGTGAATATTTTTGCAACCCCTGTCTTTACAAACAATCTTTGGAAGTATTAAAATATTTTAAAAATAATTCCCAAACAAATTCTACTACTGAAAGCTGTGTAAGGATACAGTTTTTAGCACGATCAGCTGTATGGAGGAGGGATGTTAGTGGATGCAGAGGAAGTATGGTAGATGGGAGTAGTTTATACTTAATAGTTCAAAATTACCAATAATTAATAAACACTGGAGTCTCGCTAATACAAACATCCTCTTGCATAACAAAGTTACTGCATTTCAATTCAAAACGAAGCTATATGTTCTGCAATACCAACCAGTGTGTCCAGTTAACCAGGAATCTTGGAATTGTACGTAAATTTAATTTTGAATGGAACCTGGAAAATTTGGAACAATCGCAAAACAGCCAAAGGTCAATCCTTCATAAGTGGCGTTCAGTTGGCTATCTTTTAGCATTATCGTGTAGAAAGAAGAATGAGATCATGAGAGATGATTATTCGAGTTATGCATTAGATAATCAGGGATATTGTGGCTATGATCGTAGGAAATGAACACGTATTGCCAGCATCTCGTGACATTTGCCATGCAGTGATAAAATACATTGTTTCATATTTGTTATGTAATTTACAGTTTTTCCGGCTTTTCTAAACAATTAGTAGTCTGTAACAGGATCGGCCTGCAATTTGGTTTATCGAGACTCTAGTGTAGCCTACAGATTAGTAAGCATTTATTGAGATTTATTTCACACAAAGATTATTGTGTCCAGATAATTTGATATAGCTCGTTCTGTTTAATGATGCAGGGAGGCCGTGGGAGGAGGAGGTGGTTCCTCAGACGAGGGTGTGGAGAAGGACAAGAGAGGAGACGACGTTTGTCCGTGGGACACACCGGGGTCCCCAGACAAGAAGCTACATGCGGTAGCAGACGACACATCAGGGTCTCAGAAGTTACATCCGGTAGACGACACGGCAGCATGCTCCTGGGACTCGCTCGGACACGTCGGGTCTCGCAAGAACTCAACACAGCTGGACTCGGGCAGCTCGTCCTCCGACATCAGTCTCGCGGTGGCTGTCGAAGTGAGTGAAAGACTTCGGAAGAACTGTAATGTGCAGGACAGGTTCCAGGGGCGTCGATCGTCAAACGTGTGTCCTCGGCCCTCTGTGTCGTCCATGGAAGACGTGACGCCTCAGAGGTCGTTTGACTCGACGTCGTGCGAGGCCAACATAAACCTACCCGTTGAAGTTCCTGAGAGAATACGTAAAAAGTCGGTGAGCGGACCACCCGGCCGGAAACAGTCGACTGTGGCGCCACTCATCAGCGTTAGTTCCGTAGCGGAGAACCCAGGTGGAATGGAGGAGACGGAGGAGGGGGAAGTGGTGTCGGCTACAACGGGCGTGAAACAGGAGACATCACAGAAACCTCCAGAGAACTCATCAGAGAAACCCTCAAGCACACCTCAAGAAGCCTCTGGGAAAACCAATGACGTTTGTCCTTGGGAAGATGAGTAAGTGGAAATGAAATGTCACTTCATTAGCAAGTTAGTAGATTGCTAACAAATCTAAATATTTTATAGTTTTAGCATATGATAAATTATGTAAGCAGATGTTATATGAAACCTAAGAACGTTTTATAAATGTAGATCAAGTATACGACTTAAGATCCTCACATCTTTAACAATATTTCATTTTAATTTGTGAACTAATTTATTTAGATTCTTGTCTTGATAGAAATCATCAAAGACAAAATTTGATTACCTTAAAATAGAAATTTGATAGAAAGAAAATTTTACTATTAACGTTTTGTTTCATATAACAACCGTTTCAATATTAGTGTGTTTCTTACTATTTGGTTGTCGAATCAATTACAACCTAATTTTCACTCAAGAAAATCAAAATATTTTACTATCTATAACTATAAGAAATATTTCCTTTGTTATCACAGTTTCAGTGTATTAAAAGAAAGCGATGGTTTTAAGTTAAATTCTTAAGAGAATCCTCCATTCTCTTCTGGCACATCTGAACTATTTTCAAATCACTAAATCTTCTCTTTTTCCTTATTAATTTGTTGTAAACTCGTACCTCTCACAACACATTATTTGTTGGCACGCTTTATTTGGCTTATTATTTTGATCATTTAGGCTATGTCAGACATTTTGTTTTTGTTCTTCTCACTTTTAATTATATTTTTTACTCTGTTTATTTCTACAGTGTTCCAAAACACAGTTAAGACCTTTGCTGCTATTTTGGATTTACAATGGAACAATCATTTTTGTGAAAACCAACAGATAAATTGAAGTCTTCCAAAAAAACAGTTCATGAAATAATAAACAGGGTAAGTTTTACAATGTGATTAAGTTTTAATCAAACATTTTTAGATTATATACTCTTTTTAAAACTCATGTATGAAGAAAGTCAATTTAATCAAAGCCTTTTGCAATTCCAAATATTTTTTAACTCGCTGCATGTTTTTACTTACACTTTTTAATTTACTTATTCATCTTTGTTTTATAATTTCAGTAGTTCAAATAATTGCACTCCACATCTACTCACGGTTAGTTATTAATTTTAGAGACGATTTTAATGATTTTTAAACAGACTATTTTCAGTTTGTCATGAATTATAAAAGATTCCTGTACAAATAAGACGTTAGTAAAAATGTAACCAAGGTATGATTATTGAGATATTTTACAGGAACGTAACAAGATCCAAGAAAATACTGCTTGTGATGTTATTATTCTTATCAAGTCAGATGGAAGCGCCACTGGGCACATTATAATCTATATATGAGAGAAAGACGAGTGTAGAATGAAGGGAAATTCTTAGTCTAACTTAGCTGACTATAAGAGAAACCGTTGTTTAAGCCACTCATTTATTACAGGTCCAATGATCATGGTCAGCCTGGTCCAGTTTGAATATTTTATGCTGATATTTTGTGTTTGTACACCCGGTATTGTAATGTCTGTGTTGTTGCGTTTGGTGGTGAAAGTCATTTGAACGGTTTTGCTTTCGTTTAGAACAAGGTCATTGGAGGCACAGTATTGCTTTACTCTCTGGAGTTGTGTGTTGGTTTTCTCTTCCAGATTTTCCATTGTTCTGTTCGCAAATGTGAGAACCGTGTCATCTGCGCCCCAATCCAACTAGGTAGGTCATTTGTGAGAAGGAGGAAGAGGACTGGGCCAAGTAATGATCCTTGGGGTACTCCTATTTGCACGTCTGAGTTATTCTAAGAGTCCTAGAGTTATCCTTCTAGTGTCAGAGAGCTTAATTTAATTCTTCGCCTGTCTAGCCTCAAGAAGTCAGAGGCAACCCATTTGGAAGGCCAAAACAGAATGAGCTTGCTTACCCTAAGAAGGGAAGTATTTACCCAAAATTTTCTGTGCTTTTCATTGGCCCATGACACAATAGAGGAGCACAAGCTTTTTTCGAGAAATGCCACAGAAGGGTTTTGGTCCAATCATTGATGCCGCTAAGGCAGCGTTTGCCAATCTGTCCGCGGCTTCATTTCCTTCAATGCCTATGTGTCTAGGCACCCAGCAAAGCGTAAGATCATTCCTCCTACCCAATTCAGACACAGAAGCAAGACTGGCCATATTCAGAGCAGTAAAAGAGCACTGCTACTGTAGTAGTACTCTTATCGAGTACCTAGACGCACTGTTTTAAACTGTGATTGAAGAATCATTATTTCTATTATTAAAGACATTGTGAACAATAATTGGTTGTGCGGTCAAAGTTTTCTATGTTTGTAATTCTTGGGTTTGCCACAATGTTTTCTCTACCTTTTCCTCCATCTTTGCATCATATTTTCTGTAAAGAGTTCTCCTGTGTATTATTCTGTGAGAACCAATACTAGAACTCCCCCCTTCAACAACTGTGGCCTATCACAGTAGTTGCATAATCATAATGACTCGGTATTCTTCTGCCTCCCAACACTTCTCGTACGATTCACCTGCGTAGTATACGTACACATGGTAAGTGGGTGGATTACCTATTGTTTTCAACACTTATTATTAATTAAAAATTATGGAAATATATACTACTTTTTCTTTAGACATATTACAGATTACCAACTTATTAATTTTCTTTTTTTCAGGGACAGTTGCAAAGTGGATACGCCGTTTGTCAAGACATATGTGACGCTTGACTATTTGTAACAACTAGTGAATTCAGTTTATTCGCTACCTGAGCAGTGTTGGCTTTTCAAAATTAACTGACCTCTTGAAATTAACTTTCACCCGCACCACACTATGTTAGTTTGTGTTAACTTGTTTTCCGTTCGATGTTTGCTTTTCGAACGATCACCGTCCATCTCGGTTTGGTTATGAGCGTTGTGATTTGGCGCAGATTGAATGAACAGATTATTGATTCTGATAGTTAGATATCTTGAAAATAACCTAGACACAATATCTGATGTGAAATGATGCTGATAAAAGCAAACATTTGCAAGGTTATTCTCGGGAGGATTATTTGTAATGTGAGCTCGGGTGCGAAAGTTGCACAGGTGCAGATTTACCCGTATCAAACTGAGCCCTTGGTGCGGGAAAATCCAAACTTCTGCTTTTTCGCACTTGCGGTAAATAAGAAAAAAAGAAAAACACAAAAAAAGTAGATGTAATGTTAGTTGGGAAATTTATTCTATATTGATGTTGAGCTTATTTACCAATATACCCTCATGTTTGCACATTCGCAGTTCTTGCACCATTGTCTAAGTGTAACTCGGTGTATCGGTGTTCCGATTAGTGTGTATGTGTTAGATGTACGCATTACATGTGTCGTCTTATTGTTTGATGAAGCTCACATTACGAATAATTCAAGGTCGGAGATATGAGGAAAGGACGAAGTTGTGTGGTGTGAACGAAGAGATGGGTAATGACAAGGTAGATTCAGGGTAAATTTTTTGACAGGCCCTAAGTTATTATTTTTCATTTAATTAAACTTTGTAAATCAATGATTTTCAATGCACAAGGTCTTGTTGGATGGAATTAATATGATAGAATCAGATAAAATCCAACTAATCAGAAACTCAATTATTCTAAGCATGATGTATGTCTTATCTGAATAAGGAAAAAATGTCTCCAAGGCAAAAGACCACCAACTTAATAGTTTTCCTTTGATTGTTGAAATTTTAAGCGATTTTGCATTGTAATGACTTTTCCTATTAGAACCGCTACTAAATGGTGCTTTAAGTTGCTGTTCAATTTGTTCTCATAATTTATGGTTTGTAATTGACGTTGAGTTATCAATTTCATGCTTTTTTTCTCTGTCAATGCACAAGTTGGTTGTTTAGTTTGGAAAGCACTGCTGGGGATCCCAACGATCTTGACCGAGGGTTCTTTGACTGAAACCTGAGTTCTGTGCTACGGGAATGTCTTTCAAGAGTTTACCAAACTGTACAGTGTTATGTCCTGGACTTAAATACAGCCTAATGATCTGTGTTATGTTGGGTTTGAACTGAAGAAGGTTTATGAATTGTTATGAGATAAGTATGGCAAATGCGAGAACAAATATGAATCGAAATCAGTATGAAACGGCTTTTGTTAAAAGCGTTACTGTTGGTTTGTCAAAATATGTTGGTAAAAAGATTTTTTGTGTAAGAAACTTGCAGGATTATGCTGTGAAACGATACCGGTAACATAAGGCTTTCAAAAGTGGCATAAAGTGTAAACATACTCTGAGTATTTTAAATATTCGTAACATATTTTACATCAACTTTGCTGAAAAAGTTTAATTTTGTAAAAATAGTTGACTGTAAAATAATATTAAGATAGTGTATTCGATCGTCAAATAAGTGAGGAAAGAACAGATGTGACGAATAAAAAAAACACCCTAGAGGTGGCTGTATGTTATATTCCTTGTTGATTTGTGTAATAAAATATTTTTAGATACGTAGATGTGATTTATAAAATGTTATTGGCTATTTGTAGACGGAAAACTAACTAGTGTTATGTTTTGTTTTATATAAAATTGTGGGACAGCAAAACAGTCTATTAGTTATCACACATCGATGTTATTTTTTTATCTAGGCCTGTGAAGATGTTTTAACGTTAGACAATACCGTTACTCTTTTTAACTTGTAATGTGTCTCGGAAATTGAATTATCAGATGTGCTAGAGGCCAAAATATTTTATTGCAACGTGTTAATGTGCTGATTACAATTTTGGCAAACATTTTAATTAATTGTTTGATAATTTGATAGCGCTTTGAAAATTAATTCCAATAATTTTAAATAATCTGGGCGGTTTCAAGATAAGTATGTTAACTTATCCTTTGAAGAATTTCCAGTGATACCCAAAAAATGCTCAATTTATTTGCACAATGTGGTTGAATGATTTCGCTTATAGTGCCTGCAAATCTGAGTGTGGATTCTAAATTGTCCGTTGCCAAAATGTTAAAACACTGTAGGTATGTGTTTGCGATTACCGAGTGTTTTCATTTGTCGATGCTTTCACAGCTACAGTGTTCTGGATGTTTACCATTTTTGTACATCAAATCGTACTTATGAAATCGTTCCTGTCAGAGTAGATGGGTTTGTTGAGACGAAGGGAGGTTGCTAACTATTGCCGCTTCCATCGATATGATGAGACATTAGGCCTAAGCGCATATCTGATCCTTAGTGTTGTTGTAGGTAGCTACGTCTGTTGGAGCTTTATGTAAATAGTACCATAGCGGAATGTTTCAATACATATTTTTTGTCTACAGTTTTTTCATAGTTTTAATTAAGTCTAGTCTAGTCATATTGGTACCAAGTGAATAGAGATAATACGTTTACATTGTTTAATTAAATAGATATGGAAATACAATTTAAAATTTCAAAAAAATATTCTGCATAACTTATTACCTGTCCTTCTCATCAATTAAATTTATCAAAGAGCCATATCAATGAATACAGTTGCGAAATTTAAATATAAGGATTTTGTGGTGGGTAGGTTTTTAACAGAAGGTTTACCTAAGTGACAAAAATATATGAAAATGCACAAATAAATACATCAAATTTTCGGAGCTACTAGCTACCTCTTCAGGAGTAGAGTATATTTGTTCTTGCTAAGAACAAGAAGTTAAAACAAACTTTTTTGGACAAACCATCCCAAAGTAGTTTAAGGTTACAGGTTGTTTGCAGATTTAAAGTTCGTATTACACCTTTGTGAACATTATATACAACACGGTCATCTCAAAACCATTTTGGTCCACCTTTCTGAGTATTGGCTACAGCATACACTGCTGTTTTTAATTGAATAAGGTTTTAACTGACCACAAGATTCTCGTCCCTGGAACGTGCTCACAGCTACAAGACAAATTGTCCATATGACACATGGTCCACAACGGCTAATTGTTGTTTTGCACATGGACCAACACAACTCACTGTTCAAGCACTTTGATTGAAAACCGCCTTTTCAATTTCATTTTATTGAACCAGAAATAACAAATTTTAAAAGTTACACACGTTAGTTTGAGACAAATATTAAGTTATCACAACAAAGCACCATTCCAGCAAATACACTTTAGTATTCAATATATGGAAAAGAATAAACCTTTTGCTAAGCTAATAACTAGTATTTATTCACTTAATAAAATTACAAATAAAAAAAACACATTGTTTATATACACAACACATCAGTTTGGCAGTGCAATGTCCGTGATAGCTGTTGTAGAAGGTCATCGAGAACTGCTTGATGATGAGCGACTGTACCTGCGGCGCCGGGCCGGGGGAGGGGAGTGGCGCCGACGAGGGGGTGACATCCTGCGCCGCGGGGGTGGAGGTGTGCGACGACGGTACCGTGGAGGAGACCGACCCCCTGGACCGCCCCACCTAGGCGGGGGACCCCTGCGTGGAGGGGACCTGCGGGGCCGCATCTTGGGTAGCAACACGGGCGCACAAGTGATCTCTTGTCCGTCAATTTGACCTACAATCAAAAAATGTTATCAATTTTTTAAAGAAGCTAGTCACTTGATGATACAGACTATCCAACCAATAGATTTAACATCCAGACTTTTATTTAAATTTTCTCTAGAAATAGTTTGACTAAGATCCTATATATTTAATTGATATTACCTTACGAGGCAAACGACTTCCTTTCAGTATACAAGTACTAGTAGAAAACTTTTCATAAAAGGTGTCCGAGGAGTGTTATACGTTTTCTTTGATGGGGCCTATTTTAGAAGTGATAAATTAAGAAAAAATATTCTTAAGTCCATGAAGTTATAATTAGCCTACATGAATGGTACAAGTTTTCAACACAAAAAAATTACAGTTCATATAGGTTGAGCACAGGTATAAGTTCCCTTGCCAAAATTTACAATAGATGAATCATGAAAACTTAACTTATTGGTCAATGCTCAACAACTCTCAAGCCTGATAAATTATTCATTAAATAAATAAAATATTTATGAAGGCCTACAGATTGTTTGGACGAGCGCCACTAAAATATTTATTCCTTCACCTTAAATATTTGAACAAGTTTTGTTTCATCTAAGGCTTCATTTGATTAAATAATGACTATACATTTTGTAGCTTATCTACAGTTAGCCACAGACAAGCCTTGTGAGGCTTTTGCAGCATGCAAGAATTTATAATCTGTAAAACTTAAATATGTAGGCCTACTTGAAGAAGTCTATTTAAAAAAAAGGTATCACCTCCGTCCATGTGTTTCATCGCGTTCTCCGCTTGCTCGGCAGTTTCAAACTCCACGTAGGCGAATCCACGACCCTGGGGTGGATGAAGTCTGTCTACTGGGAACTCCACAGCTTTTATGGTTCCGTAGCTGCTGAATATCTCGGAGATGTGGTCTTTGGAGACATTACGGGTCAACCTCCCCACATGGATCCGCAGCGGTTTGGGTGTCGGTGACCTCTCCTTACGTTTGCGTTTTGGAGACGGAGAGCTGAATAAAATCACAGTTTTATAACAGTAAGGGTGTGCGAAGCAGCAAACACTTTTCGATTAAAAGCAATGATTTGATCCAAAAGATTTTTTATTCGAATCTATGCAACCCGATTCAAAGCAATATGGCGTTTTTCTATTCATACTTTTCAATGGAGTGAAATAACAATTAAAATTGTACCATAATTTGAAAATTTTTGTTGATGTGGTATTTGGCCTATTCATAAATATGACATATATGAATTTTAGATGAAAAAATATTTATTTTCAATCATATATTAGAAGAAGCTGTATTGCTGGATATGTCAGTGCTGCTTTACTTGCCTATTTCATAATTTGTTAAGCATGTTACGTATTTTATAATATTGATTTTACAAATAAAAATAAAATATGTTTGGTGTGAACAAATTAAAACATTTGTAAGATTTATACTGAAACTTTCAATTGGTTTACATTGATAAAATGAGAGGATAGAATCAGTATCAGACCTACAAACTACGAGGTATACATAGCTTCAGACCTACAAAAATACCAAATTTATCAGTCCAAATTTATAATGCTTACCTAACTATCAAAAGGTCCAATCAACTGAGAAAAGTCATCAGCTTTACGTAGGTTCTAAATCTAAACTGGACCTAGCTGTTCCTGATCACTAGGCTTTAAATAAACGATCCTGGCTAGGTGGTGTCACCATCTCAATTGGTAATTAAGTTTTAAACCCTTTAAAGTTACAATTATTTAAGACGAGGCATAACCAGGTGTACTCAAGCCAAATGTCAGTGATGGATGAGTATAGAATGGATTGGGCACAAGATAGGTGCAATTAAAAAAGGTTGCATATTGGAAAGATTAAAAAGCATATAAAAGGATTAAAAGGTTGCAAGTTGAGAGATAACTTGCCACCAGAAACACACTAACCGTGATTTTTTCACTGCTGTCTTGAGCTTCTCAGATTTCTTTTCCTTCTTCTCCCTGTTCTCTTTATCTTTGTCCTTATCTTGCTTGGGTTTCTTGGTGTCGGGACTGCGGCTGCGACTAGCTGCTGGAGCAGAAGCTTTACGTTTGGCCTTGGCTCTTGCAGCCGAGCTGTCTGTCGAGGATGAGCTCGTGGAGCTTGAGCTTGAGCTAGATCTTGAATTCGAGCTCGAGCTGTGAGATGAAGAGGACCCTGATGATGATGATGAACTACTTCTCGAGCTGTACAACAAAATCAATTCTGATAAAAATAATCTACACCTTGTGGTAGGATACAATAGACCTACAACACACCTTTATTAAAACAAATGAATTTCTTCTTCATTAACCAATCCTCACAGGACCAGGTCTCAGTCAGACAACAAAGTATAAAACAAACAGGCAACCGTGTGAATTTGTAATACCGTACTGTACAAAAATATGCATACGGTACTCAATTTATTTGTTACAATCCATTGATATTAGATATAATGAAAATTAGGTAGCTAGGCTACTCAAGTAAGCCTAACAAGTACCTACCAGTATGCAAAATGATTTGTGTTGGTAACATAACTGAACCAATTGACTATACAGTAAAAAAATAATAATATAGCCTGTACTTTACTACTGTGTTAAGAATATAGCCTACCTCAGATCACTAGAAGAACATTAAGATTTTAAATTTAGTGCAGATAAACTGACCTCAATCCGGGCTTAGGTTATTAATTTAATTAAGAAAGAGTCTTTTGCAACAACTACAAATTTAGGTTCTATCAAAAAGTGTGAGAGTAATAAACTGTAGGTAAACTGACTTAAACAAGATAATTAAAACTACAGACATAAAAACGGTATTTTGAAAACACTTTGGTAAATCTACCCAAGTAAATAAACTAATAAATCACTTTTTTTCAGTAAATCTAACTTAAGTCAAATTATCGATAAATATCCATACAACTGTTAGCCTAAATGCGATTAGTTATGACTAACTAAATGAAAAAATTACAATCCCAAGAATAACTTAGGCCAAGGTAAGGCTAGATACGGCTGGTTATTTACCTAAGATACTCTAAACTACTAGTTATTCAACGCATCTTTGTCGTAAACAGTTTTTAAATGTGACATTAGTCAATTTACCTGGTGCTGGTACTGCCACTTCTAGAAGACGAGTCACTCCCAGTTTTCTTTTTCTTCTCCTTTTCCCGTCCTCTCTCCTTCTTGTTCTCTTTATTAGATGCTTCACTGTCTGAGTCTTTGCCTTTGTTATTTTCATGTCGGTTTCGGGCCCTGATAAGATAATTTTACATTAAAATATAGAGGGAAGTATGATGCAATTTTAGTGTTTTTTTTTTTCAGTCAGGGTTTGAAATTTTATCATAGTTCAATTTGACATAAAAATCCTAAAACTGCAGTCGGTCATTTAATGGTCAACCAGGGCCGTTTATGCAGTGAACAAACTAAGTTCATTATTTTACCAGTACATTTAATCCTATATTTAACATATTATAGGCCTATATTTAATCAAACTCATAATCAACGGATAACTTAGAAAAATTAAGAATCAAATTAAAATTACTTAAAGATGGCTGTTCTGCTAACTCGCGGGTGGTAAGTTGATTTTTGTTTGGGCATGATTAAATCCTCGTTTTCTTTGACTGCTGACTTAACAATTCATATGAAAACTGGCCAAATACAGTGCCATTTAAGAATATTTGACTGGGAGTTTTAAAGATGGGTGCAGTTTCAGAAAAAAACTATGGAAACTGCGTTGGGTGTTGCAGTGCTTACATGCATTTGGTGGGGTTGGCGGCAACTGGTAACTTATTCCGTTGTGTCACTCTAACTGTCAATGTAGGCCAGTATGCTGGGTTGTTAACTAGTATATCATTTATGTACAAATCCTAATGTATATTATTCATAGTACAAATCGTAAAAGATGGATATAATATACTGTATCAATATAATATGGATATCTTACTAATATTATAAATGTGAAAGTTTAGATGTATGGATGTATGGATGGATGTATGTTTGTGACAAGTGAACGCAAAAAATACTGGTCGGATCGGGCTGAAATTCGGCATGATGATAGCTCATATTCCCGATTAACATATAGGCATATTTTTATCCCAAAAATCCTTCCGGGCTCCGCCCCAGTGGCTCTGGAGTTTCCCATGTTAACCTTATGAGAAATGGAATTAATGAATCTTAACAGCTGTTTCAATTAAACAAGTTGGTTCTGTTCTATGATGTTCAATAGCATTAAAGTTACAAGGATTACCAACAGGGTGCAGCACTATTATTTCTTTTACATTTATGACAACAGCTAATTTGCAACCAAAAGGTGAGTGAGCGTAGCGAACGAACTTCAACCTGGAGGCGAGTGAGCGTAGCGAAGGAGCTAACCTGAAGGCAAGTGAGCGTAGCGAACGAGCTAACCTGAAGGAAAGTGAGCGCAGCGAACGAGCTCCAACCTAAAGGTGAGTGAGCGTAGCGAACGAGCTCCAACCTAAAGGTGAGTGAGCGTAGCGAACGAACTTCAACCAGGACGTGATTGAGCCATGCAAACGAGATCATCTTGAAAATTAAGAAGTTAAACGGGGCAAAGCCCGCGGGTTACAGCTAGTAATATAATATATCCATCTTCTACGATTTGTACAGTGAATAAAATAATGCTATTAACTTTACTTAAAGATGCTGCTACTGTTGCTAAAACATGTACTTTAACCCTTCGTCGGTGACTTTGATTTTAACACAATCGGTGACACACGGATGGACGATCAATTTTTTTTATACATAGCCTATTTATACAAAAAGGTATTAAAACCATGTATAATCAATAAAATTGTGCATGAAATCAATAAAAACTCTAATTTTATATATTTATAAAAATATATAACAAATAAAACCAACAAGACCTTCGGTGACTCAAGCAGTTGGCTCTGTGCTTTGAGGGGGAAGTGTGACATCAACATAGCCTAATGTTAAATCGGTTCATAGAAAGATGCACGTGAGGTAACTGTTAACTTAGGCTACTCCTAAAGTTACCGGCTGGTGACATCACATATTTTTCTATAAAAACAAATGCACCAGGAGAAAAACTATGGTGTAACTGACGAAGGGTTAGGGCCTAACTAAAAGCTCAGAAGGATCACTAACTTAGTCAGCTCAGAAGGAGGACGAATGTTTACAACAAATCTTTTGTGGTACCGGTACCTAACTGTATGCCGCCTTTGGAACTCTGCACCTTATCCCATGAAATCCTAAGAAAACTGATCTCGACTGACGTGGTGCTAAAATATTTAGGCCAAATGGAAGTAAATAACGAAACAATTTAATTAAACTAAAAGATAGGCTAAAAAAGAAAAAGCTTCATTAACCCTCCAAGTGTCTCTAGTTTTGGTCTTAATGTTCGCCCATTTATTGCGCAATCGCAGGGTTTTATTAAAATGTATCTTAGAAACTTAAAAACAATGTAAAGTATACTGTTTTATATATCATTTTGTTTGGAAAATTATGGGCTTCAATGTAACGTATAAAACATTACAAAAAAATTTTCAACAATTTTTGTAGGGTTAACATTTCTCAAAAATTATAAAATAAATGGAAAAAATGTATGTTTGCACTCAATAAATTGTTGGTATAGGCCTAATTTATAGGTCTACAAATATTTTAAAATATCATAAAATTTTATGAGGATTCCAAAAATATAATAATATAGCCTAAGGAAGTAGATTTGCAAATAAATAAGTTATGGGCAAAAAACAGATTTCGGTACATAGTGTTTAGCTAAGAATGCATAACCTAACCATAGCTAGGAATCTGGCTGATAATTTACATCAATATCACAACCTACTTCTTCAGGATCATCAACCAGCCCTTCAAAATCACTTAAATCTTCTTATAATGCACCAGGTATAACTTATCATTACTTTTGATTTTTAACACTAAAACAATGATAAACGTAATAAAACACATCAGTCATCGGTGCGAGGTTAACCAAGCTGTTTACAAATACGCACGTCAGCTGTCTGCTACAATTATGATCGGCTCGAGAAAAAAAAGCCCTTAGAGACAGACCTCGGGAGAAAGCTTAGAATCTGCCAAATAAAACGATACCTAACTCGATCCAGTTCAATCCGATTTTGTCATTCATAGAGCCTTCGCCGTAAACAGTGTTTGTGAGTCGAAAAATCGACACAAAACACTACACAAAGTGTGTTATGTGTTGATTTTACGACACATAACACTCGGAGGGTTGTGTGTTAGTGTTTTTCATACCTACGGTAAACTTAGTCTAAGTTAACGTTGTGATGATAAGATAGCTTAAATAATAATGTGATAAATATCGGTTCAAAGGATAGCCTAATATACTTATTAAGATTAAGATAACTTTAAGTATTATTACCTATGATATTAAACCGATATTTAGGCCTAAGTTATCATTATTCATATGCTAGGCCTACAATAAAATAACTTATCATCCGTTCTCTGCGGAACTAAGTTAGGCTTATACCCAAAGAGTAGCCTGGTATCATTGTTTTGTCACCATGTAAAATTTAAGCCATAGGCTAGGATCTACAACAAGTATAGCAATTAGGATCTACAACAACTTGCCCCAAGATATAAAAAAACCTGGAAATAAAGAAATTTAGCACTGCCCTTAGGTCCTGGCTAGTAACCAAACCTTTTTATAGCCTTGACGAATACTTTGAAACAGTGAATAAATAGGGTTGATCCACCGCCATAAGTGATTGAATGTATATATTGTAAATAGATTTTATTAAATAGTATTTTACTTTTATTTTATCATGACACAACCTATCCGGCAAAGCTGGTCTTGGTGAAGAGGAAGGTAATCAGGTAATTAGGATTCACCTGACCAAGGCTAGCCTAGCCTAGTTTCAGAATAGCCAAATACAAAATTTTACTTTGAGCGCAATTAACTTAATAGTCTCAGCCCAGTAGTTTGATAAAACTGCGCATTATGTTCAAGGAAACATTATAATAAAGTATTATGATTAATTATTCAAAGAAATCGCCGGCATTTTCGTCAAAATTGTGCGGCGAGCAAAATGGCGCTATGATTAGACTTGTATTCAATCAACACAAAACTTCTTGACTTAATGCAGTGGTAACTTGAATATTTGAACGTGAGAAAACATGTATTTTAATGGGGTTTATTAATGAGCATGACGATTACTTACATCTTTTTGTCCACAACAACCATAACAGTAACCGAAAATTATAACGTTTAGGCCTAGATTTATATTGACGTACGAAAAACTAGGATGGAGAAGAGAGGTGAGGTTGGGTTATAGTTGAGTTGAGGTTTTTTTTATCGACCGAAACGAATTGAACACGAACGACTGAACTTAAGAAGGAGGATAAAGTAGCAAAGTAGTATATTGCAGAGCAGTAGCTTTGATTATATATGTTGTTATTAGTTGTGTAGAAATGCCATCATACGACTACGATTGTTATTTATTTTCTCCCATAAGAACTTATTTTTCATCTCCAATTGTTGGTTACTGGGTAAGGCAATATAATATTCCCTTGTCCACTAAATAGAACACACAAAAATCGGCCACCTTTAACTACAGGTCGCGGCCTGGTAGAATTGGCAACGTTGCAAGGGGTGTTGTTTAGTGACAGACTCTCATAAGATAACATGACAGTCAGGGTACATCAGCTCATTCATTCGCACTTTATTGATTTAAATTTATGAACATAATTATTAAAATATTATAAGTAAAACATACAGAATTGAAAACCGAAACAATGTGAATTAATCATCTATTATCTGTACATTTTAAGCGGAGTCAATATTATCATGGTCCAGTAACCAATCTTTCGTAAATACACAAATACCATTAGCTCATTAGCTGCTTCCAAACAAAACAGTTGTTATAACACCACTTGCGACGTTGCCAGTTCGAAGGCCGCGGCCTGGAGTTAAAGGTGACCGTGCAAAAATAATTTATGTACTGTACTATGAGGCAGTTGGCAGTTGTTGAAAAGTAAACAATAACAAACGAATAAATAAACGATGTTGTGGCTGTCGGCGTCGGCTGCACCTAACCTCTGTCAGTGTCAAGTTTCATGTTTCTTTTATTTTGGACAGTTTTGCTTTTATTATGTGTCGATAATGTTTCAATAGTGCTAAGTTAGTGCTTTGAATTGCATTTTCTATCTGCACACTTAGGCTGATACTCTTAACCTATACAAAAATGAAAAATCCAATATTGAATGTGAGCAATGTACAAAGTGACAATTTATTCGAAATGAAATTGGACAATGTAAAGCATTTGTCTCATATTCTCAAAGTACTCAATTTTAAAGAGGTAACCTATAATTGAATTTTTTAGTAAATCATAAATCATTTTATTTGGCCATCAAATACAGTAATGGGCCTAGGCCTAACTTGTTAGGTTGGTTCCTTATTAAGGTACTAGGCCCTAGTAGGCTAGATTGAATTAGCAGAACAGATTACTATTAACTAAGGCAAATTAAATAATCCTTTGATAATCTTAAACTACAATGGGCTTCATCCTTTATCCTGTTAAAATAAGTAAGTACGGTAAGTTAGCTATTACTGTAATTGATGTCAATGTGGACATTTCAATGGCAGATCGTAATACAGTGCTGACCGGTTACAGATCAAATTGTCTCAAGTACCGTGACCAGTATTTACTTAGAAGCTCTCCAACCTGCTTTAAATATTTTTCTGTGATTACTCGTCTTCATACACCTAGCCTAAACTAAACCTAACTTAAACTTAATGTTTTTTAAGGAGCTAAAACCGGAAAGTGCTGAAATGGGGAGGGAAGTTTAAAATGGCAGTGAAAATGTTCATTTTAAAAGGAATTGGGTTTTTGTTAGGTACCCAGACTTCTCTTTAATGATTTGGAAAAGGTGTCCGCAGCCATTTTTACACTCACTAATCCATTTCCACACTTTGTGTTCACTCATTGCATTAGGACCATAACCTTCAGTCATCTGGCACTAAATGTCAACATCAGATCGTTTCCTGTACCGGTAATCAAAAAAACATATCACTGACCTTATCTCGTACGCAGCAGGGGATTCAATAATTTAAAAAATACACAGTCAACTGTATTTCAACTACTTGTCAACTACGGATCTGCAAAAATAGTCTCATTCAAATCTTAAATGACGCCAGTAAGTGGCGAGTTATGGTGTTGAACCGTATTCGCAAACTGCGAAGCTATGAACAAAAATGGCCTTTACTTAAAAAACTACCCTCACTAGTAACTAGTCATTAGACAGTCATTAATATGTCTTGACCTAACTTTAATTCAATGAATTATTTCAGATGGCCACCTGTTTCGTGTCAGAAAATGGATTAAAAATTGTGGTAGAAGACGCCAAATGTGTTCAAGTCAGTGCTTTTATTGGAGAAGATGTGTTTCAGGTTGTTCAAAGATGCTGATACTTTTTTTATTTTAGTAAGAAAATATGGAAAAATGGTATTAAAATAAACAGTTCTATTCAGGGCTCGATTTATAAAAATTGAGGTGCTGGAACTGTAACCTATTTAATGTGATTATATGATTGATACCCATTTATGTACTTATTTAACTTAAATGTCAATATTTTTATCTTTTTGAAAGAGAGGTACGGTACCAGAATGCCGTTCCACTGCAAATCGAGCACTAGTTCTATTTATAACATAAAACTTGCAAAGATTCAACAAACACATTTTAAAATTAAAAGTATATAAGTAGTAAATTTCTGCTTTGCTTATTTTTTATATTCTAACCATACTAGGTATGAACAACCATGCCCACCTGTTTATCAGTAGGTAACTTATATGCTTTGTGTTGTTATTTTTATACTGTATTTAGTCTGTATGGATTTATTCAAATGAAACGCTTGATTTGGTTGATTTTCCTTGCTAGGAGTTCCACGTTACAGAGGAGGTGACATTTAAGGTAGATCTCAATGTTCTTCTTGACTGTTTGTCAATGTTCGACAACTGCAGCACTGTCCCAGGAGCGACCGCAGCTCTCAAGATGTTCTGCACTCATCAAGGAGCACCTCTCAAACTACTGTGAGTTTGTCTGAATCGTTTAGTTTGGTAAGACAATTCAAGCTTATTGTTTTCGAGTCTTTAATCAGGGTGTCTACTGGTCACTGAAGTCGCGGAAAAGTCACTGATTTTACTAGCCAGTCACAGAATTCACTGAAAAGTAACAATTATTTTTCATTTTGAAGGTCCCAAAAATCACGGAAAAAATCGGGCCTAACTAAAATATCGTTCCAAATACCTGTCTTTTGTTTTACACCCTGCTACAGACATTGAAAATCATTATGTATAATCAGTCGAAGGGAAAATATTTTAGGAGCGGGCAACCAGCTCAAATCATTACGGAACAAAATATTGAATGCCCAACTATAGTCCTCGCCACCCTAACTTGAGGCAGCCCAAGGCCGCAATGGATATACGGCGTGCGGCCTTGGGCTGCCTCAAGTTAGGGTGGCGAGGACTATATCTCATGTTCATGTCACTGAAAATTATTGTCTTATAGGTACCAAAAGTCATTAATTTTTCTGTTGCGTCATCGTCTCACCTCTGACTTTTTCAGTGATTTTAGGCCCCTCTAAAATGTTTGATTGTGTTATCGTGCTCACTTAATATTTTTCCACTATATAATAAACATTTTAGAACTACCTAATTTATAATTTACATCTTGTAAATAATTATGAACAAGTGGCTTGAGCCTTTACATTTTGGGCACTGAAGGATAGGTCCTTCTCCTTATTATACTGGAAATAGCCACAGATAAACTCCTACTTTGACTTTTGTTGACTTTTACAGGCTTGAAGAGGAAGGTGTTATTACGGACTGTTCACTGAAGACTTTGGAACCCGACGAGATTCTAGACTTTGATTTTCCCGCTAGCAATGTAGTCAACAAAGTGATTCTTCAGTCGGCCCAGTTCAAGGATGTATTCAACGAGTTGGATCCAACATCTGAATGTGTCGAACTGCTCCTCAGTCCCGATGCTCCTTATTTCCAGCTGACTACAAAAGGTTTAGCGGGGGACTGTCAGGTAATCATTTATTTATTAATGGCAAAACCACCATTTTTACATTCAATTACATGCATAAAAAATTTTGGATTGTAAACAATACCATTTAATAAATACAGTGACTTTGACATTAATTTATACTATACAAGTACTTAATTTATGACAGCAGAATAATCAGAACTTTTGCATTAATTTATTCCCACTATTTACGTTGTATGTAACAATAGGCAATCTAAGGTTTAGGTTTGCATAGGTTCTAGCATAGCTTAGCCTAAACACAACCTAAAGTTAAATTAAAGGAAAAATCCAAGTAATCTTCTAATGCTTTTTTTTTGTAATGCCGATTTCAGTGGAATTTTACAGGAGAAACAATGTACACTGTGAATGTGCCAAGAATTGAACCCTTGCCTCCCTCACTGAAGTCCGAGATGCTTACCACTAGGCTAACCCACACAAATGTCTCAAAACAGGTCTGCTACATTCATATTTGAATCAGTTCGAATTGTATTGCTTCCCATCGGCATATCGGTACCCTCTAAAACATTATAGGTAGTAAAAAAGTAAATAGTTTTTGTCAGACACAAATTGGAAAAATGTTTTATCAGTGATTTCACAAAATAAATTTTTCAACAGTTGCACGTTGTCTAAATGACCTTTGATGTTCAGTACAGTGCAAAACAAGCGAATGTTTTAGAATGATAAAACTTAATGGTAACCTACTTTCTTTTAGGTCACAAACAACTGTATAAGGTCAAGTATTTAAGCCAAGTGTTTAATTTTAAATTTTTATTTACAGGTTCACATTCTGCATACAAGTGAAATGATAGAAGCCTTTCAGTGCACCAAAGAAATCAGGTCTAGGTAAAATTTTAATGTTACTCTTGTAATACGACTGCTTATTCTAGTGTTTTATTTAAGTTCCTTGTATAATCTCATCCATAAAGTTGGCTTTAAGTTGCCATAACGGTGTTCAACATTTTGTAATAATTTATTACAAAAACAAAATTTTAATGTACGATATAACTGGCATGCATTAGTGCATAATGACAGAGTGTGTGGTTAAATTAGACACAGTTTAAGCACAATGTTCAAAGTCCCAATCACTCATTTAATAAACAAAACCCTACGTTTAGTAAAATATGAATCATATTAATCACTTTACAAATTCCTTTAAAACAATTATTTAGTGGAAAATTGAAAAAAAGGTTCAACTACAGTTTAGGTCCTGTTTAATTACACATTAATTGATTATTCAACCAACATCC